CGTGCTACAGATGTTGGAATTATTTTCAATGTACACAACTGCAGGTAATTAGCATACTCTATTTGCCTACTTCTATATCAGTAAATAGGTTTTGAATTTATATTTCTGGTCAATTGCAGAACAAGTATAACGAACTGTAAGCAGTCACATATCATATACAATAAGTACAAATGAACATTGTTTACATTAAGCTTAAGGAGTTTAAAGCAAGTAATAGGAGAAACAAATGCAATATGCCCAAAGATTGTGGATAGATTTACAGTGATATCACATACAAAAACAAGAAACAGTTATCAAGCTAGTGTTTTGCTAGTTTGAGGGACATTCACAGGATTTAGGCACTAATGCCAGAGGAGCTATAGAAAATGTTTAATGTCTGACACCACCTGAGAGTAAGAGGTTATATTGCAGCAGTGATATAGAAGGATATATCTGATCATACAGAAGTTAGTTCTTAGATAAACATGCTCGTGTCTGAAGTGGACTATCCGTACCTGCTGAACATTGTATTGATACCCTTTTCAGACTTGTCACAGAGAATTTAACTATGGAACAGTTTTGAAATTAACAACACCTGCTTGTCAAGGAATCATGTGCTGCTAGCTGCTCATCATGCAGAGGAACTCCAATCAGAAACTCATTTAATCTACAAGGTGTGGCCTCATTGTGATTCCATTAGAGGCTGACACGATTCGTTCCTGCTTCTGAGAAATAATTATTCCTTATTGATCAGCTTCTTGTTGATTAAGGTATTTAAGGTTAAGGTATTTCACCCTAGCTAATTACCTGCAAACTGTTAGTCACACAGGTTGCATGAGTGGAGCTATACCTCCCACTTAGATATGTGGAATGTGGTTAGTGTTTGTTAGCTTCTATACAGCTGCATACGAGTGGGGAAAAAATTTTTTACCAGAGAATTTCCTGTCTTGTTTTTTTGTAACCCTGGAGGCCCTTTAAATACTTGCATGTGTTTATAAACCATATGTACCTCACCTCTGACCTGAAGACTGCAAAACTTCTGAGATGCTTGTTTTTTTTTTTCCAATCCACTGACATACTGCGTGAGAAGACGGAAAGTAAAGCAAATGCAGAAAATAATCCAGTGTCCTGCTTTGTATGTTGCACCCACCATATTTCTATCTTCTGTTGCCAGAGAGGTATGCTTTTTTATGCAGGCGTTCAAGAAATGCACGGCTTTTCAAAATGTGTGCCACTACATCTGATGTCAATCTCTTTCCCCCAAGTAAATTGCATTCTTCTTCCAGCTGGTTCTCATACTTTGCAGATTCTGGCATGCTTTTTACTAAGTATTAATCAACTGCACTAAGCATTCTGGTGTAATATCTTAAACGATGTTGTGCAGCATATGCGCTTTGTTGATAATGAGGAATGTTGAAGGGCTTAAACTAAAGTATATAAACCTTGCTGAGGATCAGTGAATGTTCTCACAGAAAACGCTGATGATTGAAAACATTTTCAGCATGTACAAATACTTTACAGCACTTCTATTTTACTTAATTTATTAGTAGAGCTGGAGATAACACTACTCCACTCGTATTTCATTCTGGGTTAAACTGAAGATAATATTTAATGCTAGTCAAGCAGAGGTGTCAGCAGGTTTAGCTTAGTTTGTTTTATAGTCTTTGGGGTTATAGGGTATTCTCAAAGGCTCAGTATTCAGTGAACTTAAAATGTTCTGATTTTGTGAATAACCTTATATTTTAGTATTTTAAATAGTCATAGTTATTTGTTATCAAATAACATTGCATTTCTTCTGTAGCATGTAGGTAGAGATCATTGGTAGTTTGCATTGTCATTATGTTTTTTAAAATTATTCTTCTGTGTCCTTATACCTTTGGGACTCTGGTAGAAATGTCTTTTATTTTAGGGTAAGAAGAATCTCTTATACTCAGTATAGTCAGAAGCCAGACTATACGCAAATGTAAATGTCAAAGCCAGTTCAATACTCTTTGAATTCACACATTGCATTCAAACTCTCCATCCTCTGCTCATTTCTGCTTTCTTGGTTTCAATGCACATATGCTATACATTGTCTGTGTTTCTGTGACACCAGCATTCTGTTCAGGTTGAAGACCTGCCTTGATTATTCAACACAGCTCGATAAAGTTGTTTAGCGCTTACAATAAACCAACAAACCCACAAGCTATATGGTGAAGCCTTGCATGTTGAGAGTAAAACGTTTTCTTCTGCACATAAAGAACTTCTCCATATTACCATTGTATATTGCAGTTTAGAAAGAACAACAATTAGGAGAAGTTTTACATTTCCTCAATTCAATCAACATGGACTTTAAAAAAAAAACTAACAGTACTTTGAGTAGGGTTGGCAACATTTTCAGTAAAGAGTTCGCTTTCTGGAATCTATTTTGTAACAACTGCATTCCAATGGAAAGATAATATCAGTATCTTGCTGTTCCTGCCCACTGGATAACTAGAAAGGAACAAATTGTAATGGTTTATTTTTGTTGCTCTTCATAGCTAGGTTTTGCCTGGACATCAGACATACATGTACATTATAAATGTAAATCGTAAATAGATTACTGTTTGTTTTGAACTTGTTACAAAATTTCGTGCTTGCTGTTTTTTTTTTAAAAGAAATGAATATTGGGTGATATCAGGGCTGTGACAGGTACAGCTCTGATCTGTCCAAGGTCTCTGGCACGTTCAGAGCAGACGCAGAACCTCCCCCTAGACAGCAGCAAATACTGACTGGTGCTGTTGGAAAATTCCGCATAGTGCAGGTTTTCAAGGAGGGTGACATCACTTACTGTAAAATACCCAGGGCAGGTGAGATTTGATACAAGGCAAGATATTACCCAGTTAGATATAATATAAGCAGCATCCAAATCTCACACACTTGATTCTCAGGCCTTTTGCAAGACTGAGACACACTGAGGACAGACCTTTTCCTCCTACATTTTTTTGCAGTGTTAGAAATGGGAGATATCCACTAGTTAAACATGTTGATTTATGGTTTAAAGTGCTGTGTAAAAGACATTGAACATTATTTTACTCTTTGTGCTCAGTAATTTACCTTTTTCATGCAGAAACACAATTCTACTAAATTCCTTTTACAGAAATCTTAACCATTTTGTTTTAAGATCAATTGATCCTGGTAGACATGCATTTTTTAATCAAAAAAAGATTTCTGTAAAAGGAATTTACTAGAATTGTGTTTCTGCATAAAAAAGGTAAATTACTGAGCACAAAGAGTAAAATAATGTTAGATGTATTTTACACAGCAGTTTAAACCATAAATCAACATGTTTATCGCCTTTCAGCTATCTAGATATGTAGACAGGACCAAATGAATTTAAAAATGAGCAATTTCATTTAATTGGTAAGTGTGGTGGATTAGGTTGTGTTTAGTTAAGTTTTTTGTTATGATCAAGCTCATCACAACAAAATTTAAATGAAACTTTTCTAATTGACAAGTTTTGTTTCTTCTTGCCCAAAATAAGCTGTGTTAATAAAAGCAAAGCTACAAGAGTAGAAGAATCTAGAGGATTTTTAGATCATTTTAATAATATAACTGCTAATTATTGAAAGACTTTTGCAAGACAAAGTAGTGTAATTATTGTTGAAAGATGGAAAGTCCTCTGAGATATATTTAGCATTCTTGTTAGAGAACTTGTATGGTCAAAAACACATTTTAAATTAGTTTCTTACAAAAATCATTGAAGTTAGAAAGAGGAACAGAGCATGATACACAAGAAGTAAGGAGTAATGTGGAACTTTCTAAATTCTATAAGGTATGAGGTCAGCTTAAAGAATGTTATGTAGACACTTACCGGCTCGTAATTAGAAGATGTTTTTAAGCAGTATTTGTCTGTTGAATGGAATTGAAATGGCTTGTTGGTATTCTCAGAGCTCAAAGGACTAAAAGCCTTACTCTGCGCTTCAGTATATTTTATTTATCAGAAAACATAACCTTTCCACTAAGGTCCATTTGATGACTAATGTGGATTCAGCTTTTTGAAAACATGGCTCAGGTAGTTCAGATGTTGGTTCCTCTGTTGCATTTCTGTCTTTGACTGCATGTGTGATATTTTCCTTCTGAAAATTGTTTACATTGCTGTGTTGCAGAGCTCTAGAATGTACTGTGTTCTGCAACACCAAATCCTTTACCAGTTGGTAGGAGTAAAATAATTACAATCCTTCATACGAATATTCAAAGTAAGTTTACTGCTGTATGCAACACATGAAATCACTGTTTTATTCAGTTATCATATTGGAGAGCATATGTTTCCTGTTGAATAATTTGGCTTGTTATCAGCATTCGTTTTTGTAGATGCCATTTCAGAAATAGCTCTTCTGTGTCCCAGCAGTAATGGAAAGTCACAGTTTCTCCTGGGTTAGTTAGCTTTCCTTACATTGTGAAAGTAATTGTGGATATCTTCAGCATATTTTGACAGCTCAGATTTTGACAGTTTTGTGCCATTCTATGATTATTAAGGTATGTGTGTATTCAGCATTGTGATATTTTATTTCTGCATATGCTCATTTGATTAGTACCAGGGTATTGGGGGATGGGCTGGGTGCAGGTTGCTCATGGGCTGTCATTTTGTTTGATTCTTTTCCGTTTTATGTGTTGCTAAAATACTTGAGATTCACGAAAGTTGGTTAAGTCTCTTAAGTCTTCAATGTTTTACCAACCTGTACCAAGAAAAGTTAGTCACTCATTTGTCTTTTTGATGGTAATGGTAAGTTTAAAAGTAAGTAGGTTTAAAAGCTGTCTCTTTAAAAACAAACAGCATACAGGGTTATGTGGAAACTTGTATTAAATTAGAAGGATGTTGTGGTAATGACATTTGTCACAAAGGGTAAAGAGGAAGTGCTGTACTGCAGAATTGTACAGACTCATTCTCACAGTATGATCACGTACATCTCAGGGATTACCTTGTCAAGAACAAATACTTTTTACCAAAAAGTTTGAGTCTTATCTAGCATATGTACTAATATTTGCTTTTTTTACTGCAGAGGAAATCTCACAGTGTCCAGGATTCCAGAGTCCAATATGGCTTTAAGTATTCTTGGCATGTTCTTGGGGTTACTTCTGGAGGTGTCAACAGAGGGTCCCACTGGTATCCCCAGGACATCTTGGAAACATCACGGTACGATCTTTGATTTATTCTCATTCTCTGTCCCTATAATCCCTTATAAGGGCTTTTGAAATTTTAAGCAAAAAGTTATTGCTTTTATACATTTTAATATATGTATTTAGTGACATAATGAACTTTTTATGTATAATCTCTTAAAGTAATCTCATAGCATTTTCTACATTAAGGGTAATGATGGGTCTGGGGTGGGTGCTAGCAAGTTAACTCTTTTTCTTGTGGTTTATATAGATGTTTGGTATGATGCTTAATCTGTATTGGTGATATTGTATCCCATAGTGTGACAGTAAATTCAATACTTTTAAACTAATTGATTCCATGCTCCAAGCAGGTGTCTTTTCACTGACATAATGTTCAATGTTTTCGGAAAGTCTGTTTGTTTCAGGGTTTGCAAAAGCAAAAGGACACTTCTCACAGTATTGTAGATGAATCTGTGCTGTAGGGCAAAATGTCGGCATATAAAAGTTCTTTTATGTACTTTTGTAAAGTATAGTGAATAACCAAACTCTTTATTATTTTTTAAATAAAAACGTGAAGGGTAAAGGCTGTGCTGAAAAATGCTGCATGAATAATTCACATTTACTTTGTGTGTTAACTGAGCATTTGTGCTCATACAATAACTCGCAGATGAAAAGATTTCATGAATAGATAACACTGCCATTCAAAGACTGAGGCAATTTGGTTTCTCCTAATCCTAAACAGTGTTAATGTAAGATGTTATCATTTCAGTGGAAGTCACATCAGTGATTATCATGGAAAGTATTCTTTTTAAAACACTTTCCTTTTTAAACACTTTCATGAGCACAACTGAGTAGTCATTAACAAGAATTTATTTTTTTATTATTTTTTCTTTCACTTCTTCATTGTTCTTAATTACGTTTTGTACACATTGATACAGCTGGGAATGAAGAAGTATTTCACTCAAATGTAAAATGCCAGTGCTTCATCTACCATTTAACTAGGAGCTTGGATAGTTGACAAAATTGTAATGATTCAGGTTTTACAGTTTTGTCTTGTCCATAATAACCTCATGCTCTCTACAGGACTTATTAAATAAGAAAATGTTAACCGTTATATTTAACTTATGGTACTGCATTGGAACATTACATTGTTTAGATCTTTAACCATAGAAACAAATATCTTTTAACTCAAAAGGTGTCAGGGGTTCAGAAGGAAACCGTTTTTTATTTTTAATCAAATTGCAATCTTATCCTAGCTACATTCTTTCTGTTCACTAAAAATGGAAAAGTTCTTTTAGAAAAAAAAAGAAACTTATTTTGTAGATTTACAAAGTTGGCTACAGTAAGGAAATGAGACCTATTGCACCAAAAAGAGGTCACAAACCAGAACAGAACCTACAGCCACCGTCTGAATTTGTGGTTTTTTTTTCCAGTGTTTACGTCTATTAACTGTCCGCCTTTAAAGAGAATTAGGAAGTAAAATCCCATTTGTCTTTTAAGGAGCATATGAAATAACAAGAGGAAACATCTGAAGGTGCTAATCAGACTAATCAAAATGAATTCCTCATATTAATGAAGCACTCACTGACTTGAGAGAACTAATCTGGGACGTGTGAATGGGCAGAGTTTGCAGTATGATCAGGAATTCAAAGTACCAAACGTATTTTATTATGTTACTTTATTTATGTTACATGTGGGGCATTTGATGCTGAATTGAATCCAGTGTATTTTGAGTTGGGGAATGAAAAGCAGTTGCGTACAAATTATAAAATGTACAACCCAGTGGAAAATGATTAAATGACTAAATGTTTGACCTACTTCTGAGTCATAATTGCACAAATCATGTCTCCCAGAACAGCCATAATTGCCTTTCAATGTGTTTAATTAAGCTAACAAGACCAATATTGTTTACATGACAGGCTACCATTCATTTCTCCTACCTGTCTTAAAAGGCTTGTAGTTGTAGTGTTCCTGAATGACCTCTTTTCCTCATCGTATTTCTTAGAAGATTGATTTCGATTTCTGGTAGAAGTGTAGCTACTAGCAACAACAAAAATAGCTAGTTTTAAATGCTCAAAATGTTTTATTTTGTTATCGTTTGTAGCACTGTGTTAATGGCAGCTAAACAACAGATGGATTCTTTATAACTGCCGGAAAGTTCCCGATACAAACAAAGTTGGCTTTTAATGATAGTTTACCACTTTGACCCATAATTATCAGCAGAAGCATGTTATTATATCCTGTATGTGTGTAACATTTTTTTTGTTAGACCCCTCAGACTTTGGTATCCCCAATTACGTTTTTCACAGCTCAGTTCACAGCCACTGACCCCGTAACTGCACACAGGAAATGTAAGAAGTGTAGGCAGGCTCCTCCAACACACCCATCTTTGAGGCCCAATTTACCAGCTACACAGCCTCCCACTGGACATTCAATGTTGACTGGAAGAGAGGCATGTTCTCACAGACAAAACCCGATACCACCCAGGAGGGGTTGCTTGTGTTGCTGAGACCTGAGAGAGCCACAGTCACCTCACCCTAAGCCAGTGGTTCCCTGGTCCTGGTGACCCGTCCCACCTCAGTTACGTAGTCGAAGCCTTACTTGATCTAAGACGTTGCTTCATTTGAATATTTGCATTTTGTTTCTAGTCACAAGTTTGGTATTTAATTTCACTTACAAAATACAATGGTTATAGCTCCAACATGTTTAACAGATGGGAACAAACAGTTCAAATTAGTTTTATTAAGTCAGTGAGGGATTTGATTGTGTAACTGAGGGCTCGGCTGGAACAAAAACCAGAAGGTGTGTTGGTCACCAGGACCAGGATTGGGAACACTGCCCTAAGCTGTGACACACAAGGGTACCCTTGGCACAGCTGGCCAGTGGCATGACCTCTACTGCCTGGATCATAGGAAAGGCACCTTTACCCATTGAGCCACCTGGGAGACCAACATATGTGATTTATTCCAAGCACCTATTAATGAAAACAGGTGGCTAACAGAAGTATTTTATTTGCACTAGTAATACTTTGACTTCTACAAGTTTGGGACGATAATTGTTGTTTGTTTCTAAACAATGTCAGAAATTTGCTTTAAACCTGCCTCTGCCATTATAATGGGAGTCGCACAGTCCTCAAACCTGACTGTTAACTACTTTTGAGGGTAGTACTTCTGGGGAGAGGGCACATAGCCCTGTGTATATACTCATCGAACTCATGAGTTCTTAAAGGCTTTCATGATAAGATGGGCCATCAGTATTTCAGCAATGCAGATGTTTTGTTTCTGTCTGCAGATGTCAGTTTAATAGAGTTCACCGACCCTGGAATCTTCAACTACTCCACTCTGTTGCTCAGTGAAGATAAACAGGCCTTATATGTGGGAGCAAGAGAAGCCATCTTTGAGCTGAATATGGGAAACATTTCTATCAAGCATAATCAGGTATTTTATATCCAAGATATTTCTGTACTTGTTTTTAGTGGCAATTCTTTATTTAAGAAAGAAATTTGACTGAATTATGAATGGCTGACTAACCTTGGGATTTGCATATTGCTGTGTATGAGCAAACCCTGTCCTTTGGCCTGCATACATTAAGCATAATTTGTAACAGGCAGTGAAACAAAATATGGAACTTTAATTTTTATGACAAACTTAAAAAGTTGAAATCTGAATAATATTAATCTACATTCCAAAAAAATGATATTTGCATTTTGGACTGTAAGTATATGATTTTGTTGTTTTTATTTTTTACATGGTCTTTTTTTATTTAAGGTAATTTGGAAAGTTCCTGAAAGTGATATGGAAAAGTGTATTTTAAAAGGAAAATCCAAAGAGGTAGGTTGATGTTTAAAATGTATTGTACTTTGATATTTATAAACTCAAGTTAAGTGGAGAAAGGCATATAATATCACTATTATGCATTGTTTTTAACATGCATTGATACTGATCTAATAACATCTTTGGTAGGGATGTGAACTTTTGGCATTCTGCATGTTCTGGTTATTGTTTTTCTTAAGGACCATTCACACTGTAAAACATGGACAAAACGTTTCAACAAAAAAAATAAAATGAACAAATGAGCTAATTAGGGGTGAATTTGTAATAAAGGTATTGGTATTGTATACTGGTATTGAAACATGTGACTTAAATAGTGCCAAATTAAAAATGGTAAAGATGAAAGACCAAGCTAACTAAAAAAATCAATTTTATTATTCTTTCATATGGAGACAACATAAGTCACAGGAAAAGAGCGTGATAGTTCAGCTCACTTTACATGACCATATGACCCCATGCTCACAAGGGCACAGGATGGGAAATTCAGTACTGCCCATAAACTGAAAGACATATATACAGCAAATTGTGAACTACACTTTTGCCGAGATGAAACGTCATACCATGTGAACCACAGAAAAATGTTACAGATTTGTTTGGAAGCATGTTTTCAGGTTAGGTTTTATAATGAACACCTGAGTAGTACTACATGCTTACCATGCAAGGGTATTAAACACCAGTTATCATCTTTGCCAAGGTATGAAGCACAAATTAAATTGAAGTGCAGTTTTGAAGTGAAATGAAATTGAAGTGTCTCTGTGAACTCTGAAACATACAGTCCTCTGTGGGACAAGGAAGTCAAAATTGCAGTTTTTGCTGTATACTCAAGCAGTTTGATTTTGAGATGAAAAGATGAATATAAGGCAAAAGTACAGAATGTCACAATTTGTGGTTGTGGGATGTGGAAATTATGGAAGTTATGGAATATGGCACCAGCAATGTTGTAGAAGCCGATACCCTGGCTGCTTTAAAAAAAGTCTGGAAAACATTTTCAGATCAGTTATCTCCTAACAGTTAAAAATGCTGACTAGTAACTAGTAACTAGTGACTAGTCTTGTTGGTTTCATCTCATTTGCAGCCTTTCTTTTGTTCTTCCGTTCTAATTGGATGCCCTATATACAATTGCACAATTAGTATTGATCATATTGTCTGTTGTTTGGTACCTTTTTGTTTCCTATCATAACTCCTTCGCCTTCTCGTTCTTGGACTGTCAACTATAAAAGACAGTAAAAAATGTGCTTCATAAACAGCATTTGAAATCGCATTAGAGCACAAACTGATTATACAAGATTGGATTTAGAACAAACGTAATTAAAGCTTGGGACTTTACAGTTTTTCATTGTATGTTGGGACATTCTGGGCACTGACGAAGATAGGACATTTATGAGTAATTTATAAAATGAAATATGCCAGCACTTGTTTTGAAATCATGCTTCCTGTTATGCCTGCAAAAGTGTTGTTTCAGGTTTCTTTCAATAATGCTTGATATCATGTTACTACATGTCTTGCGGACAGTAGAATCCAATTTATGTCAGTATTTCCGATAATATTTTTTATTTGTGGAACACTAAGCACATGCCTGAAATGTTTTTTAGAAATTTGTTGGCCTATAGTTTTAGGAGACATCCCTGCAACTAGTTTAGAAAACAGTGAACAATAATGATTCCTGCTTTTTTTTAAGGTCTAAGGTTTTAAGGTCTAAAACAGCATTTCTACAGACACTTATAATTGAAAGTTCAAGTCTGTTACCCATAGGGTTTTATTCTATGAAATTATGGTAGTAGTGTGGTCATTCTTGTAGTTATGACTGATATTTCGTACACAATTTCCTTTACAGACAGACTGTCTCAATTACATACGAGTTCTGCAAGTGGTCAGTGACGACAGTCTTTATGTCTGTGGTACGCATGCATTTCAACCCTCTTGTGACTACCTGGTACGTATGGTTCTGTCGTCAAATGTATTGCAGAAATGTTCCTTTTCAGTGCACAAATAGTTTTTTTCTCCCTCATTACAGTCTCTTCATGATTTTCAACTGGAAAAAAAATTTGAGGATGGCAGAGGAAAATGCTCATTTGATCCAGCACAGAGTTTCACAACAGTTATGGTTGGTGAGTAACTTACCGTGCATGTTTGTCTAGACATTGTTACACAAAGTGTATTCATCTTTGAATCTTTTATTACATTTTACAATATGTTCCATAGAAATTCATCGGTTTCCATTTATTTTGGCAATTTAAACCTGGTGGAGATTGACATTCCTGATAAACATTCAATGTGTCATAGTGAAATATTTGTTTTTAACTGGAGTTCTTAATCCTCTTTTGTTTCTTTTCAGATGGAGAACTTTACTCTGGAACTGCCTACAATTTCTTAGGAAGTGAACCAATAATTTACAGATACTCACAAATGCAGAGCTTGCTGCGAACAGAGTATTCAACATCCTGGCTGAATGGTAACAGCTATTCCTAGATAAGGCAGTGCCATAAATGTTGACATAGTGGAAGCTGTAGAGTAACTTACTAAAGTCATATAATTTGACTTTCTGATTAATTGTAACACCAAACCAACAAATCTCATGGACCTACTGTTACTTGTTTGAATGTTTGGTATTAGTTAATAAAGAAGATGGTGTTTAAAGATGTTTAATATTTATATGGCACTAACTATGGGCATCAAAGTTTTCCCATCTTTAAGGATCACATGGATCACATGCTTCAGACAACTGTTTCTGTAAAATTCTGTGTTGTACACAGGAATTAGTATGCCTTCAAGGGTTATGACAGTTAATTAGGAACTTCAAGCTGGTAATTTGTTCCTTTCCCCAGTGCACATGGGGACAAAGTAGCTCAAGAAACCTGCTGGAGCTTCAGCAGTTTCAGTAGATTGGAGATACAAGTTTTCATTTGCACAGTAAAAGTGTGGTGACCTGGGATCGTTCACTTGGTACACATTTTTAATTTACATTTATCTCCCCCAGAGCCCAGTTTTGTTTTTGCGGATGTCATCAGAGAGAGCAAAAACAGCCCAGATGGTGATGATGACAAGATCTACTTTTTCTTCACGGAGGTGTCTGTGGAATATGAATTCTTTGGCAAGCTCCTCATTCCCAGAATAGCCCGAGTCTGCAAGGTAAGAGACTGCCATTTGTCCCCTGCCCTGCCTCCTTTAGAATGAAACATGTCTTTGTTTTAGATATAATCCTTTAAGGGTAAGAGGGATTGTTATTTGAGGTGTGTTCATGTTAAAATGGCCAGTTGTTTACAAAGGTCAGACTAGTTTTATTGAAGTCACAAAAGCCAGTTCACATCAAGCATAAATGCCAGCATTGGAGTAGCTAAAATCTCGCAATATACTGTAGTGAATGTCTCTGATATCTATTTCTGTGGATACAGTCAAAGGAGACAGTGGTCTTAGATGTTAAAAAGGGTACAATGAGCATGCTTCAGAGTATTAAACAACACCGTTTGATGTTTTATCCCCTTGTGTGTTTGGGTTTTTGAACGTATTGTGAGCAAGAATGGGTGTTTGACACTAAAATGGATTGCTTTGCATTATTCGCCCAGCCTTTGAAATTATTCTGTTAATGTAAAGGACTGCAAAGTGCAAGGTGGTCTGAGTATTTCCATAGTTGAGTGTTGTGTGACCAGAGAACTACAAGTTCTAATCATTTCAAGAAATCAAAGGCAAAGCTGGGCAATGGCTTTGCCATTCACTGAGGTCAAGTGCTCAATGTAAAGCACACAGTTCCATGAAATGTAAGCTTATTTGCAGGCCTCAGACCCGGCATCTGTTGCTGTGCAGTATTGCAAGAATCAACTATTCATACTGACAAAAGTCCAGCTTCATAGAAAGGTCTTGCCCGCATTTTCTTTCAATGCAAAGATACAGATGTATCAGATTACAGATTTATTTACAGATATTGCAATGTTTTATTTCCTTTGTTAAAAATGGCATTTTTGCAAGTTTCTATCCATTTTTTTAAAGAGTAATGAAGAAAGGTGGGAGCTTGTCCTTTCCTTTTAATGTACATGTTAAAAAGTTTTATTTTATTGGAGGCTGTAAAAAAAATCAAAAGAGCTTTTTTGTATTCATCCACATTGCCGCATGTGACCATCCCTAATGTGCCTTCACCTTGCACGTTCTCCATTCTATTACAAACTAGTTTCTCCTCATTCGGCCATTGTCCTGATCCATCTTCTCCCTGCATACTTCATTCTCTTCTCTCCAAATGTGGCATTTGACTGGTTTTCTTCTTACCTCCTTGGCTAATTCTTCCAACTTTCCCAGTGGTCTGTTTCTACAGGTGTCCTTCCTGAGACTGCCATTATCTGCTCCTACACATATTTCCTGGATTGTCTATGATCTCCTACCACTGCTAAGCTAATAATGCTTTGATTTTCCTCAGATTTCTCTCTTAGATTTTTCCATCACTAACTGCCTCATAGCTTTCTCATCTTAAAAGCACTGGCATTACCTTTGCATACACAACCATTCCAAGTCAGGCTTTCTCTTAATTTGTTTCTCTTTCCTTTTCTGACATCATTATCTCTGTTGTAATTGCCTTGATTTTTGGTTTTATTCTGAAGTCCTCCTGCTCTTCCCCATCCTGCATCTCTTTTTAGTGCCACTGAAACTCTTTAAATTTTTTTTAAATTTTTTACTTTCATCTGGCTTGAGTACAAACCTCTTTTGCTGTTCTTTCTTCACTGCTTCTTTCACATACAGTACTTTTCCTCATGTATTCAGATCCCAGGGCTGTCCCAGTGATCTGCACACATGAAGAACCCAGGATGGCAAACAGCAGTAACATGCAGGAGGGTTTACTGCAAGACTTTTCAAGTCTTAGCAATCAAAGACTTCAGAAAAGTCCCCTTCTCCCTACTTAGTAATTATGGCTATATGCCTTGTTTCATTTCTAGACACCCAACCGCCACTAACACAGCACAAGCCCTTTTTATACTACCACTAATTAACCCTTTGTGAGAATGAGCCCTCCAGCATTTAACTGGTGATCTGATCAACACCCCTGAGAAGCTATTGCAATTGTTTGAGGCCCTTTGGCTGCCTCTAGTGGCGGGTCAGCTGCTTTCATATACTGACCTGCCACACCCTCTGAATTTTGTTTTGCTATGTAATCACTTGCTAAAAATGATATTTTTTTCTCTTTCTTTACATATTACAACTGATTGTTTTTTTTTTCATTGTATGTATACAACGTATTTTAGAATATAAACAATGTTAGTTTTCGAAGTGGTTATATTTTATTTTTCCCTTTTTGTTCAGGGTGACTTAGGAGGACAAAGGACATTGCAGAAGAAATGGACGTCTTTTCTCAAGGCCAAGCTAGTCTGCTCCATGTCCGAACTGAACTTTGTCTTCAATGTCGTTCATGATGTTTTCATCTTGAAAACGCCTGACTCCAAAGAACCAATAATTTATGGGGTTTTTACTTCCCAGTGGTAAGTTACTCTTGTACGAAATTAGTTGTACTTGTAGGAAAGCAGATGTTTTAGGTGTAATTTTAACATATCTCTTGTTATAGGGGAAATGTTGGATTGTCTGCTGTCTGTGCCTACAACATGTCTTCTGTGGGTGAAGTTTTCTCAAAAGGAAAATACATGCAGAAGGCTACCGTTGAGCAGTCTCACACAAAGTGGGTGAGATTCAATGGAGTTCCCCCAAGTCCTCGCCCTGGAGCTGTAAGTCTTTGCTGTTACTTGGTTTATGTTCATTCTTGCCTGAGCCTCGCAGTCCTGGGAAAAAGTGAGAATGAATATCCTTCTAGTTCAAGTTCAGTATTATTAGTAGCAGGCTTACATGAGTGGATTAGGCAAAGGCCAGTATTGTAAGTGAGAGAGGGGTCCTAGAACTCACTAATTATTTGTGTGCTTTCTTTGTCTCTAGTGCATAAATAACAACGACCGGCTTCAGAACATAAACAGCTCCCTCCACCTCCCAGACAAGACCCTCCAGTTCGTCAGAGATCACCCCCTGCTGGAAGATCCTGTGCTGCCAATAGGAAATGGACCAAAACTTGTCGCCAAAGATGTCAACTACACCCAGATAGTAGTGGACAGGGTGCAGGCACTTGACAACAATGTTTATGATGTTATATTCACAGGAACTGGTAAGGTGCTCCTGAGTTTTCTTTTCTTATTGAGGTACATGGGGTCCCTGGGCTTTGGTTTTGAGGAGCCAGATATAAAAATGGTGTTAATTGTACATTGTTTATATCTGTAAAAAAATGTGTTTTTTCAACATTTACTAAGTATTTTGACTGTTTCCCAGATCCGGACTTGGGGATAGTGTTCAGCCTCACCCTAAATTCTGCAGACTGTGTCCATGACACATTTAACACCAATGCTAAGTTTACTATCTCTCATAACAAAAAAGGTTTTGCATGTCCAAACTCATAATTGAACATTACTTTCTCTAGACAGTGACAGTACAATAGAGTTAAATTCTCTTCAGTGAAATTGTATCAGGGTGTGATACAGATATAAAAATGTAAGTGGAAATATTTAACATTTTTTATGCTTTTCTTTGTAGATAAAGGAATTTTGCACAAATCCATAATTTATGATGGAGAAGTACATATAGTTGAAGAACTAAGGTTACTTCCAAATTCAGAACCCATTAAGACATTGCTTCTGTCATCTCAGGGGGTAAGTAAAACACTGAATTACATGGAAGCTACTAAAATCATAATTCAAACCATTTAAAAACACTTAAGCAATTACTAGAGGAAGTGCTGTTGTTCTATGAGTCCAATTTCGACACAGCCATTGTCAAAATTTAAATGGGGGTCCTTCCTGTTACACCAGAATGCCTTGTATGTATTCAGATCAACCAGTTTATTTTAGGTTTTATTTTAGAATGGCAAGGCATGTAGATATGTTCATTAAAAATCTGCCCTCTTGAATTTATGAATAAAAGTTCTTAAGAAATCTAACATGCCATTTGCTTTATTGTGTGAAAAGTGACAAATTTCAACACAGAAAGACAGAAAGTCGGCCCAAAAAAGGAACTAAAAAAAAATCTGATCACGTTCCTTGTTTCATGATTTGTCATTTTTTAACTTGAAGATCATTTTAAGAGAATCTGATTCACTTGCCTTATACATTAACAATCCTTCATACAAATTGGGGTGTCAGAATTGTTAAGCACTTAATGAGTAGTATTAGACATTGAGGGAAAACAATGTGTATCAAATCTGTTTTGGGGGATGTGGGAGAGTGAGCAATCTTATGAACCATATAATTTTTTGAACTAGGCCAATCAGCTGCTCAGTATCAGTGTCTTTTCTGTGATGAGAGTGGAATTGTAAGTTTCAATATTATGTTTCTCTGCTTTGTGACATCAAGTGAGATCTCATGTGATTAAAAAACTTAACAAAGCCATGGTGAGTGTGTATATGAAAAGTCTTCCCTTTCGGAGTGATAACTGCTGACACCTTATATTTGCAGACTAGGTTTCTGTATGCTGGCTCTGACTCTGGGGTCGTGCAGTCCCCAATTGCTTTTTGTGAAAAGTACTCATCGTGTGAAGACTGCATCTTAGCCCGTGACCCCTACTGTGCCTGGGACTCTGATGCCAAGATTTGTGTGAATATACTTCTACCTAATGCAAACTCTGAAAGGTAATCCTTTACACCACCAGATAACATGAACATTAAACTAAGCAGGTCCTGGACCAGCCTTTGTTCATTTGTAAACTCAGTAGCTGTTCAAAATCCATATCTTTAGATTTTCCTAAAAACATTTTAACAGAATGATTTGACCAAAATTCAAATGACACAGTCTTGTGGTTCAACTTTTGATGTTAACAGAAGCCATTCATTCTATCTCAACAGAATTTGTTGTGTTCGTCTAAAAAATCATCATCAAACCTGTCCATTCTTCTGTTCATGCAAATAGGAACAGCCTTTCCTGCCACTTATCAGATTATGTATTTTCTTCGCAGGAACTTAATACAAAATCTAAATGGAGATGCGCATAAATGTCCATCAGGTATGTATCTGGAGAAGGAAATCCATGGTCTGAGTCTGAAAGATGCAAAGAAATATAAACAGATTTTGCACAACAATAATACTTAATAGTCATGTCATTTCTATTAATAATAAAAGAATTTAGCTGCGTTTTGGGTTTCTATGTGATAGACAGTCTGCTGTTCAGACCACAGATCAGAAAATAGAAGCTGGTTATTAACTAGTCCATCTTTTTTTGCTTTTTTACAGTAAAGTCGCTGTCCCCTGAAGACTATCAGATGATCACTGTGAAGCCTGGAAGTTCAGCTGAGCTGCCTTGCCGGCTGAACTCTAACCTGGCCCACGCGGTCTGGAAACTGAACGGTGCCGTCTTGTCGGCCGAATCCTCCAAGTTTCACCTGATAGCCGAGGCGGGTATGCTCATTTACAGCGTCTCTCAAGAGGACCTGGGGCACTACGAGTGCTGGTCAGAGGAACAAGCAAATGGCAAGAACTTCACCCAGGCCCTGACAGGATACATCTTAAGTTTTGACATTGGTAAGCAGTATGTGACATCAGACCCATTCATGTCCACCACTGCTTCAGCTGTCAAGCCAGCGCCCTCGACAGAAGGTAATATTAACACCGCAGGATCCCCACTAACTTCAACCCTGCAAAGCTCTGCTACTCCCACCTCACCACCCCAACCTGAAACAACACTAACCCCGTGGTTCAGCACGACTGTAAACCCATTGCAGAAGCTTCTTTTCCCCAGTCCAGGCACTCCTAGCATTGAGACTCGGGACCCTTCCACGGAGTACTTGAAGACGGACAACAGTAACGCCCTTCTGTTTCTCTTTCTGCTTTTCTTTATCCTTTTTCTGGCACTGATTGCTTACAACTGCTACATGCAGTACCTGCCACCCCCTTGTCTCAAAGTGCGGGCGGCGCTCTTGGGGAAAAAGAAGAAACCCCAGCCTGAGTACATGTCCTGTGAACCTGGCTTGATGGAGCCCATAGTGGAGAAGGTAGAGCAGACAGGTGTGCACAACCAGAATGGGGGCCAGCAGAAGGGTCTGCGCGACACAGGCTATGAGACAGAGCCAGAATACGCCAACGGCAAGATCTCCAATCCAGATCACACAGACAAAGTTGCTGAAACGCAGGACAAACCTTTCGACGTCATCTGTGAATCTCAACCTATTGAATTTGCTGATGCGGATGCACCTTGCTGATTAGTTTTTTACGTGTCTGTTTTTTGCTGTTTATTTTTTAATTTAAATTATGTATCTGCACATACAGGGGGAAAGGAGGAGTCTTATATATGCAGACTTTGTGTTAGAAGCAAGATGGACAGTGTTTATCTCAGTTCAAGTGAACAGGGTTCATGTTTCTAGTAGGAGTGACCCCATTTTTCCTGCAAAAATCCATAACTTTCTCATCAGATTATCGGTATCTAGATTCATACAACCTGCATTATATACAGCATTTTTCTGATCAGTAATTGTTTTTATTCCAAATTGGAAACATGGTTTATCAGATTGGTAAGTAACTGAATGTTTTCCAAATTGGAGCATGTCACTTTTTATATTTTGTAAAGTGTTCAATTGGTTTTCGAGTAATTTGTACACTCAAAATTACCTATACTTCTTGCTGTTTTTGATGTAGGTCGACAGTTCTTTTCTCAAATGTTTATTAAATTCTCAGGGATTTTTAACGTTTTTACTTTGTTCAGCTAAATGATATTAACTGCAAAAAGCGGTGGATTCAGCGCATGCAGAAGTTCTTGGGGATCACAAGCACGTTATGTTGAAAGACCAAAATGACCAGCTTAATTTGTGATACAGGAGAAAGGAAGTTGTCTGACACAAAGAAAAACGGGTAGCTTCAACAATTCTGAGCCATGTCCTTGTGAATAGATTCTTTTCCTGTGAATAGAAAGTCTGGAAACTTTAATCGAAGCTGGAAAAGGACTAATGCAAGACTTTTGAGACCACTGATGTTGGATGCTTTGAAGTTGAGGGAATATGCCTGTACAGCCATCCTGCATGTTACTGCAGAGGGTTACGGTGACTTTAAACCTGTGTACAAGGAAATGCCAAGACTGTGTTTTAGATCACAGGTGCTTATTTGGAGTGAAACACTGGAAAGCAAGCTGCTGTTATAGTAACCACAAAACCAGACGTGCAAATCAAGTCTTCCAGGACTTGTAGCATTGTCCACTCAGCTTGATTTTAAATGTTCATATTGTACTGATTTTAATGTTTATTTGATGTAAAGTTTTCTTGATGTATAAAACTAACTTTAAAGAAGTATATTTCATTTGCTTTGAATTTTTGGCTATTTTACCTTGTTTTTTTTTCTATACGGATATGTATGAGAAGAATACTAAAGAATTTTAAAATCAGTAATGTAGTGCATAGCATCATGCTTTGGTATGCAAGCCAAGCGTATGGCTTGTTCTTAAATGTGGAATTCTTAGGTTGACTTTCAATGAAATGATACTTATGAATTTCAAAATGTGGAAGTTATAAAGAGAAGTATTTAATGTTAAAAGATGTATACAGTTGTTTAAGTATCTTTATTTTAAAAATTCTTATTCTTTTGTATTTTGATTTTTTTTCCCTAAAAACATTTGTTGCAGATGCTGCATTGCTCTCAGAAAATACCAATTTTGTTGTAGTTGTCAAGTTTTATAAACAGCATTGGTATATCCATAGGTCCTTTATAAAAACACGCCAACCATTTTAAAGGAGGGATCGTTAGTATAACAGTCTCACCATCTTCAAAGTCGGTTATCATTTTCTGGCTGTTCATGCGCCCGTTCCAGCTCTCTCCTGATCCCTGTCTATAGAGCACTCTCTTTATGTATTTTTCTCCATACTCTTCCTTTCCCACAGCCTCTCCTTCACCTCTCTCTCCTGTGGATTCCTTCTCGTTGTCTTCTGTGGAACACACTCCCTCTGTTTCTTCCTCCACATCCCCTCCTGATCTTCAGGGCAGTGCCGAGAGCTCAGTAGTGCACCTTTTACCTCCTCTATTGAGCGATCAGGCACAGAGTGTCCATGCCCATGAGTTGTTTCTTCTATTCTGCCAAGCTGTGGGTGAGTGAATACATGCATAGCTGTGGTCCACCTTGGTTTCCTACTAGTTGCTTTCTGTTTTGTTTCCTTCTACCCTCCTGCATGACCTTGGACACCTTTTGAAAACCCTGCCCGTTTGTTTTCCTGAACTTCAGAACCACAACCTGAAACTCCCTTAACTTGAACATAAGAAGATTTTTATGTTTCGTACCCGACCAGTTTCGAAGAGACACTGGTCTTTACATCTCGGCTCACCACAGTGAGTCTTGCAACACCGGGAGAGAATGAGGATGGGCAGATCTGGCTGACCATCACAAGTCATTCAATGTTTGACATGCTGTGAGCTCTGAAATACCTTACAGGAGGGTGTGCATTGTTTGCAGAAGTTGTGCATCACTCAGTGCAAGCCTTGCATGTCCAAGGAATGTTCTTGCCCAGCGCTTAAATCCTGGCCAACTAATCCCAACCCCGGCACTTGTGTGTTGCAAGACATGGGCGGCTGCTTGCAGAATTCTGGTCATGTCAGGCTACACCTTTGCTATTTGAGCCACACAGGAGACCCGTATGGTAAAGGTTTTTCTGAAACACCACTATGACACTTGAGATGAAAAGGCACAGTATACAAGTGGCTATTTCACAAATCCTGTATATGAAGAAGATTTTATTATGTAAAATTAATTCTAAAACCTAGACAACAAACTGTAGATCTTTGCTGTAAGCATATGTAAGCCAAAGCTTTAGAGCTTGTAAAAATATTAGCAAAGCAACTACCACTACTGAGGTGAAAGAAGACAGTGCTTTTTGTGTGGTACAAAACTGGAAAACATTGGCTTATTGTTTTTTTTTATTTAATTATTAGATAGTTCAAGAATATAGTGTGAATATGTGTATATATGCATTTGAAGATGTACATGAAACGTGATATTAAAAGAGGAGTAATCCACTAGTGGACTTAGTAGGGACTAAAATAAATTTTGGATCTCAGCTGTGTGGATGTTATTTTTTTAATGGCAGCATTCTTTTAGCAGAACATTTTTAATCATAGTATCAGAGGAACAATGCCTATGTTGATTTGTTTCATAACAATCAAACTGCAGTGTTTTATTTGGTGGATTTGTCATTTCATTATCGGCTAAAAGTATACACTCACTTCTTGTGCCCAAAAAAGATTACTGGCACCACTAATCACTTACACAATGAGCACATATCGGAACACGCCTCACCAAAAGAAGAGCATGACCAAAACCAAAGTTATTTTTATTTTGAAGAGGTTGCAAAAGCTGAAAAGCAAATTAGAAAAATGTCTTCCAAAGAAGACAAGGCTTTCAACCATGAGACTACAGATCTCCTCCTTCCCATGGTTTTCAAGTCAGTTACATTAAGAAAGATTACATGAAAACTTAAGTAGCTTGGCTGTTTACTAATAGGAAGAATCATTCATGGCACAGATCAGTTCGTCCAGACCTCAAGATTAATTGGATCTGTTGGCTGTTTTTCTTCCCATATCTAATGACAGAGGCACAGAGAATTTAGGCTAAACAGCTGGTCTGTGGAAGTTATACAATTAAACTGACACCCAGACCTCCATTGAAAATATAATAATGTTATTATTATTGCTTACACTTATATAGTGCTTTTCTGGACAATCCACTCAAAGCGCTTTGCAGGTAATGGGGACTCCCCTCCACCACCACCAATGTGCAGCATCCACCTGGATGAAAATATGAAGACAGGAGTGCAGTAGGAACCAGGGTGAGAACTCAAAGCCTATTGAAAAGGTTCAGCAGGCTTTGTCAAATAGACATCGACTGGTTGTAATTAAAAAAACATAGGTCTTTCACCATTTAAAATCTTTGTGCCACCTTCTGTCTTCCCTTTCTCTCCACCGTGAGAGAATACCAATCCAAACTTTCTGAGATTTGGAATAGGAGATTAAAAAGAAAAAAAGGTTAGCTTCACCGTAAACATTTTGGTAAAATCATGCAAGTGACTGTTTTCTATATTATTAAATTGGTTTTAATTTGCCATTTTGATTTAAAGCGAGGTGAGCATTAAAAAAAACCTTTAGGTTACATTTATGTCTTACTGCATTTTTCTTTTAAGTGGATGAATGTGTGATCATCTTTTAGAAAAGGTCTGCAAAATTCTAGCAGTAGTAAAATGATTAGCTATTCTAAGTTTTAGTTCACCTTACACCAAGATTGTACTCGCTGGCTACCATCTACATTTGTATTCACTCACATTAACATCATTACTGCAGTCCTTAGCCACTCACCTACACAAGTGACAGCCTAAAGCACGAGCATTAGTATGAAATGATGAAAGACATTTTTGGAAGCAATGAATGACTCCTACATAAGTTTTGTATTTACAACTGACCACTATGTTTACATCTTCTGGAAAAGTATTATTTTTAAGTATTTTATAGAGAAAATTTGAAACCTTCTCCAAATTCTGGAAATGTATCTTTATACATATTGTATATATTTATATTGTTGATACTAGAGATAATAGTACTTAAATGGATTGTTTTACACTGCTGTTCTTTTATGATGAGCTGCATCAGAAAATGAGCAATGTTTTATTTACCATGTGGGACAAATATTCAAGCAAAATATGTAATAATTGTTAGCATTAAAGTCAGTGTTAGTGAAGCACAAGTCCAGAGATTAATACAGATTTTCTAGCCCAGGCTGAAAGCACAAGGTCATCACACACATGGCCTGAAGGGTTGTTATTTAACATTTTAACCATACGAGTAAAACCTGATACCAAGTCTATATATAATGTAGAATTAGTCATAGATATTCAAAAACATTCTCTGTATCCAGCTGAGGAGCAGCAGGAGAAATGTGTTTAATTATATGTAAAATGTGGATGAGACGGCAAACATGGGATAAAGGGCACCCAATAATAAAGCTTGTATGATCATGAAGTTCAGCAGGGCATCTTAGCACACACCTTGGCAGCGGAGCCAATCGGAGAGAATGGATAAAAGTTCACATGAAGTGAGGGATCGTTTTGTCTATCATTAATGGATATTATTGAAATATTGAGTAGCATTACAATTCTTCCAGAATGAATCCATGTGAATGGCACATAAGTGTATATATATCCGTTCATGGAGAAGGGCTCTTAATTGGTGCAAAAATGCCTAAGTTGAGGAGGAATGCCATAAATGCTGGGTAAGTTCTGCTCTGTCATGTTCTGCATTGCTTCTGTTAGCCTACACAGGGATATCTCCAGTCCAGCCATCTCTACAAGAGAATGTGGTCTCTTTACAGACCAAGGGGAAAAAAAGGGTGACACCAATACAGAGCAAAGGCACAAAAATGGTAAAATACCCCCTCCATGAAGACTTCTACCCCACTCTCATGATAATTCAGGGACAGAGACACTAATATGCAGTAAAGTGGTCTACATTTGAGCATGCATGTGCATACATTCAGCTCTGGTAGCTGGAGGTGAGTAGAGGTAGGAAAAAAAGGCTTTACCAGTATGGACCAACTTCATTTTCATAAAGTGCATCATACTTGATAATGTTAGCAATGTCATGATCTTGATGTATCCTATTGTTTCATGTTGTTTTTCTGTGTTCTTTCAACTATAAGACTTGTATATATAGTGTTGGTGTTTGGGTTTTTTTTTCACTTACTATTTAGGTCCTCAGTAATTTCTGACTTTTTCTGACCTACATAAGAGCAGCAGATTGAAAATGGATGAATAACTTCTGGCTGTTGAAGTGTAGAATGTTCTGGATGGCAGCACCTCGAATGTACTGCAAGTCTGAAATAACATTAAAAAACAGGACTGAATATGATGCTCTTTTGAAAGAACAAGTACTTTTTGTCTCTTAGGTCCAAGTGATCTGCAAATTCAATGGGAGGTGAATGGACGAAATATAGAAAACTTTGTCACAGAGCACAAGCACACTGTAATGAATGGAAGGCTGTTTGTAAGCAGCTGGGTGAGAGAAGATATAGTATCTGACTCCCACTACCAGTGTGCAGCCAAGTCTGCAGCAGGGAATAAAACATCCCAAGTCTCCATCAGACTGATCAGGAAAGGTAGGCCAATGAGTTTTATCGTGTTTATGTCTATGGTGTTAAAATATTTGATATTTTAAAAAAAACTATAATTGCTGAGAACAGAAATGTGGAAATCAAAATAAGTCTGAACATTGTCTGAAAGTACAACATTTTTTTCTGTGTTAATGCACTTTCTCATTTTTATCAGATTTGGAGGTTGGAGGGGATTTTATATATTATTTCTAAATACATGTTTTAATCATTTATGATGTAATTATTATGTACTGCCTTTAATTCTTCTTATCTCACCCTCAGATGTAGCTGCAGATCACAGTTTTTCAAGAGACTTGAGTCAATGGAGGAGCGCTTTAAATGGCCACGAGAAACTTCTGCAGGACTGGAAGAAAGCTTGGGTATATTATTATAATTGAACATTTGTTTAAATATTTTAATTGCAGTTGTAATCCATTTAATTCCTTTTTTGTTCAAGCAAACTTCTCCAAAAATAAAAGCTTACAGTAGTAGTGGTTTTTCAGTGGCTGCACAAATTAAAATTCAGGTAATAATCTGTTAATGTTACTATTTAAGTACTTTATTGATTAATGTGAAGAATAATTTTAAGGCATTTTTTTGACATATCCTCTGTCTCAACATATTTCAGCACTGTGCGTTTTGCTGAAAGACATTACCTCATTAGGTCCGTTGCTGTAGATTTTGATAGGTGAAATGAAAAGCAGCCACCAGACAGTAAAAAGAATGAGAAAATCAAATGTATCAAGGAGTCCAAACTGAATATCACACAGGAACTGGCAATTTCATTCAGATCTGGCTGCAAAGTTAACTATTAACCAAGACTAGCTAATTATTAAGAAACATACTTGCCTCTAGTCTATAATTTCACCAGTTTTCAAGGATAGTGGAAATAAGGTGCTGACTACCCTTGGGACACATACTACTTTAAAAGCCAAAAACATTTTTTGATCTGTCTTTACCTCCCCCTTCTCTTTCCCAATGCTTTTACTACTGATAGGATGGTCAGATGGCTGCATGTTTACTGGCACAAATCTGAGACAGGCCAAAAATTAGCCCTATGTACAACACGTGTTGTCTTTTATGTTACTGAGCAAATGAAAAGTACGGTTATGTTCTCTGTTCTGGATATTCTGGGTTTAAATTAGATTTTTCAAGGTGCTGACCAGACTTTCATTTGCTCTCTAACTTTCTATACACCTGAAGACTCATTCAGCTGCACTCTTAAAAATCATTACCACACTTTAACTCAACTATCTTCTGTATGATACTCCAAACAACTCTTACTAGTTTTTCCTTTGGTGTTCCTGTATTCACACCTCCTGTATTTTTTGTGTGGGCACAATGACTAAATTATATCATTCAATTTCAGCTTGTTTTTCAATTAAAATGCCCAACATTATCTGTAACTATTGAAACCTATACAAAATATAGAAAAATATCATTGTGGTACCTACTTATTGTTGGAACAGAATTACATCAAAATACATTGTTTTAAACTTATAAAATATAAAATATATACTATAAAGGTTTGTGTAATGGCTCCATATAAATAAGTAGACATAAAGCAGTGAAAATGGAAAAAATGCCAGAGCTCTGGGTTATTACTCATCTGCTGTATACAGACGTACTGTATACTTCATATATGAAATTAAAAACTGCTTCCTTAATCTTTACTATTTGAGGGAAATAGTACAGGATTTGACCTAATTTTTTTTTTCAATAAAACACTTAGGTCATGTAGGTAAATGCTGTCTGGAAAAAAGTAAATTACCTCACAGCCTAATAGACTGATCTGTTGCTGCTATATGAACCTAAGCAAAATGTATTAAGCATTAAGCAAAATCACACAGCGTTCTCAAATCCACCAGAAAAAGGAAAATCTTTAGATGTCACGAGAGACGACGAGTGCACCTGACCACACACTGTTTGTCCTACAGAACAAAACTGTCACTGCAAGCAAATGAGCATTTTGTACAACACAGGTTTTCCTGACTTTGCACATTAATCAAACAACTTCCAAAAGAATCAAAGCAGGATTGTTTTTTATTCTCAGTTTTCAAGTACATACTCCGTCTGGTATAGTCCATGAACATGTGTTCCAACAGTCACGTCAAGCACAGTCAACTTCAGCCAGTCACTGCACTGATTTCAGGAGACATTATTTCGCTGAAATAATATTGGAATAGAAAGTAAAATCCCAACAAAACACACCTTTCAAATGAAATAATAATTTGTTCACATTTTAAAGCTTCGTTCACCAACTAGATTTCATGATTAACATAATGTTTTAGCGCCATTGACTCCAAAATGTACTGTTTGTCTGTATGTCCGTCTCCTCGGACACATTCATTATTTTCCTCTTTTTGTTCTTCTCCTTCAGGAAATCTGTGAGCAAGAAGATATTCTCTAGGATTTCCAAACAAAACATAATCATGGAAATGAAAACTGATTAATTTACCAGCCAAGATGAAATTGCAAAAACTAGGACTGGTGAACACTTAGATGATGGGAAGCCCCTTCTCGGTCCATAAAATGGCCGTGGCAGTGATGTTAAATTAATCACACTTTGTGTATGATAGCTTCATCTATGGAACTTCTAAGGCTTCTACAAATGTTCTCCCTGCCGAAAAGTGTGAGAAATGAGCATTCTATAGTCTCGGGTGACAGTGCAGCATCTATAAAGTCACACAGGAATTGTGCATATGATTCCATAAAGGCCAGAGATGGAATGCAAAAAGTGGTCTGAACATAATGTTGTTGATGAACTACACTGTTCAACACTATTTTGTATATTTGTACTTGAAAAATATGTTGTTGAAACTTTGCACTAGAGAAAAAAGCCATAATTTCATTTTTACCCTAATGTTAACTTCTAAAAGTTGTAAAATCCTTATTGTATGTGTACTAATATCATTGTTTCTTATAAGACTTATTTCTACAAGGTGGTCGACCAATATTATTAACACCCTGTACATTTACTGCTTGTATTGATAATTCCTGTGCTTTGTTCTCCATACCTACTGCCTTGAAAAGAGGTGTTCTTTAGTTTCCTAAATTATCCACTGATTCTGATTACCCATGCTCCTCTTCTCCATGCACGTCTTTTCCAACTAAAGACTTTTGTGGACTTGAAAACATCTCCTGTACTCTGCAGTTGCTTAATAAGTAAAGGTACTTGCTTGGAATGTGGGTTTAGACCCATGCTGCAGACATCCCTTGTTTAAGCCTAGGTCACATAACTAGGCATATGTGACCAAAACTCACATTCACATGCATTACACATTATACAGTGTTGATGCATAACTGGTAGAAAGACAAAGGAATTAAGTTTGTCAGACAAAGTCTGCTCAGCTATTAGCTATTGAGATGGATATCAGATGCTATCAGTGATGCTTATACAAGATGCGCTGCTCTTCCATCAGTGCTAACTCTCCAGTCAGGCACTGTGGAGCCTGCAACATGACATATGATGTTTGCAGTGAACAAGATCCAAGTGTACACTGGACCAGCACTCTTTTCAATATGATCTAGATGTTTTTACCAGAGACCCAAGTCTTAAAACAATCCACAATTAAATCTAGTGTGATTAATTTTTAACAAGAATCTAGATAAAAAAATGGGCATTTCTTATGTAATATCATCGTTTTACATAATTTAAAACTAAATCCAGCACTTCTCTCCACCTAATATTTTTTCCAGAAAGTGAATGATTCACATTTTAATTTCCATTGTATTTTTATTCTACATATTCAAAGCCCTATATTCCAGCCAACGTCTAAACACCACCATTTCTTTGTCAGCGTTTACTTCAAAATCACTTCATATTGTTAATTCACACCCAAAAAAAAATCTTTAGTTAGCTGCTGATCCCAGTAAAATCCCTGTGGTGACCTACTCAAGTATTACAAACTAATAAGAAACAAAAATCGACATTTATCAAGATTCATATTGTTCAATATTCATATACTTTCATCAACTGCCAAAGTCGTCATCAGCCTTCAGTGTTGATTCACTGTCCATTTTCCGTGTGCCCATGTACTCTTCAAAGTTTAAAAATGGATGATTGTAGTTCTTTTCAAGCATTTTCTTCCATATTTTTACTAAAAAGGGAAAAGAAACTTTCAGGTTTTACATAATTCAAATGTCTGAAGTGTTTTCTGTACAAAGACAGTTTTTAAGTACATAGCGCTTAATATACAAAACAAAATACTAGAAAACACATGCTTTATAACAAGCACAGTCAAAAACCAGGAAAACAATCAATTTAGCTCCCAATTCTTTTTCAGAGTGTGAAGCAGGTTTGAGGACTCATGGAACAGACTGCTTATTTTTCTGGATGTATTATACCAATTCTTGGAGAATAGGTTCATCAAACATATGCTGCATTCAGTTATGTAAAGATTTGTTATGCCTTCTGATGTATATTGTATTCAGCAAAATGTTAAAACAAAAAAGTGATATTCATTCTTGTACTAACATTCTAATACAAAATAACCACTCTTTACAGCAGGTATGTATGGCCCTAGATTCCCCTGAAAGGAAGATCAGTAAAACAGGAGAAACTGGTTAAAAGTGTCTTGAGATTTCTTGCACTCTTCAATCCATCAAGAATCTTACCCAGGAGCAGGCTGAGCTCCACAATGCTTGAAAACCTAATTAAAAATAAATACATCTAAATGCCTAGAAGATGTAACATCAAGGAAGGGTTCTCTTACAGAGGTCAACTATGACTTCTAAAGAAGATTTCGTTTAGCAGGTGCTATGGGAGACTAGTACTTGTTACTTACTGTACTCTGGTTCCTCCATTTGAGATGGAGATGGGCTGGGAGCTGAGCCATTACTCTGCACTGCCACTGGCAAATGATTTGCAGGATAATCTCTCTGTTCGTCAGATCCATCAGAATTTTCTAAACTTGCAATCATCTCCTCATAGGCTTTTCTGGCTTCAGAGGACAGTTCAATCATTTTATGGTAATAATCCTGTGTAAAAAGTATCATTCTCTTTAGATTTAAGAGGGTGTGAAAAGGAATTTACACAGATGACTGTTACAGGCAAATTAACCATCAGCTTTATATGGCAGGGGCTACAGTACATCAATGAAAATGATGTACCTTGTATGTTATTTACTGTCATTTGCAATAAAACCATGGTTTCCACATAACCATGTACTTATTCCATCAGCATTTACAAGGTGCCTGCATAAGACTTTTTACTGTGTAATAACAGTGATTTACATTTATGTGAAGCAGCAAAATAAAAGAAGGTCAAGTCTTCCATTTCATTTCCATCTTTAAAAATTTCACAAAATTAAAAGAACAATAGTATTGTCCTCCTGCAATCATTCTTAAAGCTGTCCCAGCCAATTACTGCTCAGGAGACTTCTCACCAATAAAATACAATTACAATATATACAGTACATTATATTAATGTAAAATATTCTCTATGTTGAATTTAAATATAGAACAAAAATCAAAATTTCACCTACTGAAAGAAACCTTCTTCAATGAATTCTACCACTTTAGGTCCACATTGCAAATTTTATTTAAAAGCACAGCGGATGTGTCTTTTACTCGGTGAAAGCCTTGTGAAGTCCAAGCAACTGGATAACTGTATTTTTCTTACTGTACATCAAATGCACAGTATGACTGTGATTTCTTATCAATCACACACAATTGAAAAGTTACACACTTTCTTCCGATGGCAAATTCATAAAGGACCGTTTCAAGTATTAACAAGGTGCTCCCATGGTCACCAAGTATTTGCAAATTGTGAATGTTCTTCCACTATCTCCAAGCAGCAGGATTCTACTTCCGTTCAAATGATTAAATAAACTTTCAGTGAACCCACCTGCGCACCATCGTAATTGAAAATCCCCACCAGGCTGACAGGAACTGCCTTATTGACGCTTCTACCCAGCGCTTTGCGAGAGAGCGCAAACACAAAAGGAACATTCTGTTCTCGACATGTGTCAATAATATTGTGCAGGGCCTCATCCAAACCCCCTGCCAAAAAACAAAAACAGGCTAAGGCACGCCATTACAAAACACACAGCAGTGGGGAAAAAAAAGAAAAAGAAACATTGTTAGCCACTGTTTAATGTACTTGCACATACCAACGGTAAATATTTAATTTCTACTTACTGTGTCTCTTAAGTAAGACAAAGATCACCAGTGTAACAGTAGAACTTACTAAACCCAATACTTCCTGTGTAGCAATGTAATAAGGATAAACAAATCACTACCAAAGTATGAATTAAGGACTAATGACCAGCATTACTAAATAGTATTTTCTAATGATCGATTAGTTGACTCTTAATTTCTAGTCACTTCACAAAAACATCTTTCATAAATGCGGACACAGGACAACTACCAAAAATTGTGTTAAACGCCTGAAGGTTAACTTGACACCTGAATATCAAACTGCATATGTACGCCCCAAAAAGTGGAAAAAAGACAATTATGGGGAGGCATCAAATTGACAATGCTACAAGATGCAGCGGTTTAAGCGTACAATTAAGAAATCAAAAAGTTACCTTTGGACTCTATTCTTTCACAGTTGGGAGAGATGATGACACACTTCACTTTTCGAAGCTTCAGGTGTTTAAGGACCTCCCTGAGTCCCATGACAAGCCTCCTCTTCATTCTGGCTTTCATGGGATCCTTCTGGTAGAGGCGGTCTTGAAACCGCACCAGCTCCTTCAGAAGGCTGATCACACAGTTATCCACGTCCTTACTGAGCACCTGATTGCAGTACCTTTACCATTCAAAGGGGTACGAAGAAACAAAACATGGCACCTTTATCATTTCAAAATTTAAAGAACATACAATCCATACATGTATGCCCATGTTTCTTATTTGGTTGACGGTAGCTTACTGATCCAGTTTTGCTATGTACTTCAATTACATGAGGGCAGTTGAGCGTGATCCTGCTCTAAACGTGCACTGCAAGACCACAGTGTTTCCCAAAATTAAAAAGATAAGCACCTAAGAATGAAAAAATATTAAATGATTGCTATGAAAAATGTTTTAACAGGGATCATTTACCTATGGCTATTCAATATCTGTATCTCTTCTAATGAGATAAAAATACTTGAAAAGTAATTCAGGTGGGTAGCTGCGTCAGCATGCGTAGGCTGCAAAGGAACTATGAATAGGTTTATTCCATGCTGAAAAGAGAAGAAAGAAAACATGTTTCGGCCGTGGAGCCTTCTTCAGGTGTCCACCGCCGAAATGTTGTGTTTTCTTTCTTCTCTTATCAGCATGGAATAAACCTATATTGTTACTTAAAAGTAAGATGACTAATAAATTAGAATGTGATAAAAGAAGCTATAATTAACCAAGATCTGCCACATTCAATAACTCTTGGAAAAAACAGGAGGTCATTTTGCTTTATTGTTAAACTTTCACACTGTAAATGGCTTGCTTCTGATTTTGTAACCATTTTCTCTGAAGTGTGGAAAAGGGATGTTTACAGAGAACATTTTGTCATCACCTCATTTTCTTATGCATGCCTGCTTGTTACCTGCTATAAGAAATAGATTTACATCACTTATTCCCCCACTTACTCTCTGAATCGCCTGCTGTGTATTTTGGGACGATTAGAAACTAGCTGGGATCCCAATAGAACGGCCTCCTCCGTGTCCTTTTCAAAAGAACTGGGCTCTTGTTCCTCCTGCGCTTGTTCTTCAAGCTGCTCGAAGAGAGCAGTGCTAGTTTCCTCTACAGTATCTGTAAGAAGACGTGGTGTCATATAAAGCATCTGGAATTCAAGATCCCGATCATACATGTTCATTCTTTACCAACCAAACAGTAGTTCATCAAATAACCAGTGCATTTAATTATATGATAGAATATATAAAGTACATGTTTCACTAAGATGTTTTTATCAACAACTAAATCCACAGTGTACTTACAATCTTGTTCTCAGCTGAACAGCTAAACCTTAACAACAAAATTGGCTCATGCTACAAGTATTATCGACCAAACAAGCTATTGCACATACAAGCCGAAACACTTCCACTCGTTGGCAATGATCTTACATTCCTTAGTATATTTTCTAAAAGGGAGATATCACCCATCCATTTGCTGACTGTTTTATCCAATAGAGGGAGGACAATATGAGCTATTTCCTATTGCACATATCTTGTGCCTGATCACAAGATCATCACTCGTTTCTGTCCATCGTCACACCTGCAGAACTGTGATGGTCTTGCTCGGTGCCTGGTTTCTCACATGGACCCTCGTGCTGATCTGCAGACGGCAGCAAGTCTGAGGGAGAGGGGATCAATCCACGTTCTTCCAACAGACGGCGCTGTTTTCGTTCCTCCCTTTCCTTCAGAATAATCTGGAAAAATAAGTAGTGCATACTATTAAAACTTTAAAGGTCCAGCCCTCTTCAAAGCAGAGGTATTAGTGAGTATCCACAGGTGAATGATCCTTCTAAAAAAAATTCATAGCAATCATTTCATTTTCATAAGAACAAGTAATAGGTTCATTCCATGCTGAAAAAAAGAAGGCTCCACAGCCGAAACGTTGTGTTTTCTCTCTTCTTTTTTTCAGCATGAAATGAACCTATTACTTGTTCCTTTGCAGCCTACACATGCTGACACAGCTACCCACCTGAACTATTTCATTTTCATTATCCACAACCTGGAAGATATGTTTCTACCCGAGTCCTCTCTTGTCCAAATGAGCTAAGATACTTATTTGAAAGTGCCAGGCTGTTTCGAGGCAGCTGTATGCAGCAGAATGTTCTTGAAGGAGACTGCAATAGAACTTGTCTTGGAAAGCACTTGAAAAATTGCCCCACAGCTATGCAGGCGTGAAGGTTACTATAAACAGACAACTGAATGCCGAAACTCACCTTTTTGAGAGGAGTTGGCTTCTTGGGTTTTGGAACCTCTCGCTGTTTGCCTTTTTTTACCAGAGGGCTTGTTGAGTCCAGGGGATTGTGAGCCACTTTCTCAAGCTGTCTGGGGTGCTTCTTCTGTGTGGAAGGATCCTTGTGAACCACAGGAAGTGATCTTCCAACTGCAGGTACATGGTTATTCACAGGAATGAGGGTTTTTGGTCACAATGAATTATGGTATGGATATTCAAGTTTTTTACCAAATCAAAAAAACTCTGTGTGACACAGCTATCAAAACTTCTCATTCTGCTTCTTTGCACAAAGAGTATAAAGTCAATGTTAACATTGAGTAAATACCCATACCCACAATACATTGGACATGAATTAAATGTATCCAAATTGAAAGATAAAAATACAGAGGGGGCTTACACATCATGTGCCTCATGCACTACATTTTATCATTTAAAGTGATATAGGTTTGCCCTCCCTATCACTATTTTTGCTCACATGATTAGGAAGTTTCTGTTTTTTTTAATGTGCTTAATGAAGTGATGGCAAGGATGTACAAGAAACAACATGTCAGAAATGCAGGTTGCGGCCTACCTGACAATATAACTGGTTTGTGATCTTGCTTGGATTTCTGGGATTGCTGCTTCTTTTCAAGCTCTGCCAGCATATTTCCTAGGTCCAACTGCACAGGGACCTTACTCTTTTTTCCACTTGTCTTCTCAGCTTTCTTTAAAAAAAGAGAGCACAATGAAAAAATCTTATTAATGAAGTTATGATATGTAAATACACTTTTACAAATGAAAACACAGTAACATTCATCATGATAGAATAAATTCATTAGAAATATTTGAAGAGATGGTTTACATTTAAACTCACATGCACAATGTATTCTGTACTTAAAAGCATTTTCCTCCATAAGAAAATCTACTTTTCATAGTTTGAAAATAAATGTATAAGTCTGATGGGGACAGTATACCAAAAGCGATCCTGCTACCAAATGTGAATAATTTCTTTACTGTTAACAGTAACCTGTTTATTTGTCTACCAATACATTTAAGTAAAATTAAATATGATTTTATATGGAGTTGTAAAAAGTATACCAATTGCTTTTCAGTCTTTCCTGAATATTCATCACTTCCTACTTCAATGTATATTTCAATTTCAATATTCACGGCTACAACTCATTGAACAGTTCAGAAACTGGACCAGCTACTGCCACCTGCTGGTAGAAAGTTAGAGTATTGTTGGTCCTGGCCTTTAGGTCTCAGAAACGCAGGGTTCTGGGCTTCAATCTGAGATCCGAAAGAGATGACTGAGCAAATTATTTCAATTAACTTAATAACATTTATCGAATGAGATAAAATAAGTAACAGCTCAAAAGGACAGAAAATTTCTGCATACCTGAATGTCATTAAACCTTTCAACAAAACTGTGCTTAATTTTAACACAACTACAGGAAATGTCAATTATGTTGTTAGTTGCTTGTTCTCTTCTTTAAACAAATGTAAGAAAATAATATTTTAACTATTTTGATGTGTACACAAATTTCAAAACCTTAAGGGAATTTACTCTAATTTATGAGATTTATTAATATGGTGTTTATTCCTTATTGACAATTCTAATGAGTTAACATTAATGTTGTAAAGTTACCGGTGTAGTTAGAAACAAGCGTAGTGCATCATATCATATTGTATCAATGGTATTACTTCCTGTCTGGTTGCTGAGGGTTTATCAGATCCCAATAAGTAATAATAGTATAGGCAGGTTCTTCTCCAGTGACTACCTGTCCCTTTGCCTCTGTGCATTGAGGCTGATGTGCCGGAGTCTTGTCTTTCCTCGTGCTCACTGATGGCTCGGCAGCAGGAGTTGCAGAACTAAGAGGAGAGGTGCCTTTGCTCTCAGCAACCTGCTCACAAAATTAAATGAAAACATTAAAATTTTTAAGATTGGGGCAGAGAAAGGGGGAGTGAGAAAAACCTGGAACATAGCAAGTAACAATGAAAATGACGAACGTTGACACCTTTCAGTCTTCCAACATTGGTGGCCAATAAAGGGGCTGGCAAATTGTCTCAAGGTAAATTTGAACAAAGAAAGTACAGGGTTAGTCTAAATGTTGTTGACGAGTATAACTGCCAATTATTTTACTCAAGTTTTGTTTTCTCCTCCGCAGATGGTAAAGGATTGTAAGGTAACTATTTGAAACTTTGATATTTATGCTTTCGTTTGAAACCTTTTTTTTGTTACAGTAACCCATGCAGTTAATTTGTAATAATAAACTGTCAAAAGGTGTTAACAGCATTTTGACTAACCCTGTTATATCTAAACCTTTGTGCCTTAGAATTAATACATTAAAACACTTTTTGGATTCCAATGAAACATTGCACAGATATTTCCCAAAATTAACAGTAAAGTTAAAAGTAACAGCATACACGTTATGCTTTTATTTGATTTGAGGTAGACTGAGAAAAGTCAGTATGCAGTTGTTAAGGAGTGTAAAAAAGACACTTTTTCTACCTAGGTGTTTCATTTTTGCAGTGCTATGCTACTTTGTTTTAAATAAAATGGCACAACATTTCTTCTTTTAAAAATTTGATATTGATATAGAAACAAACTTGAAATGAAATGCATGAATAGTAGTGTGGTGTTTGCTGCTTTCCTGATTGACTTCACAGATTCATTTCCAAAGATGTTAGGAATAAATTACTCCAATCATCTATTTTAAACCAGTTCCTTTGATGATCAAGGTAGAAGTTGATGAAGGTAAACTTGTTCCATGTAAAGTTGTACATTACTGAAATTACACCAATGATGCATTTTGAAATGTTTTTTTTTTTTCAGAAAGGTAATGTTAATTAGTCATTTAGGCTCCTAACAGCATGCATCATAAAAGCAGAAAAATGTATTCAGCAGGAAAATACATTATAAGATGAGACCTTCCGCACTTCAGAAAGTTCTTTACCTCTTTACTCCTCTTTGTTATGTTGTTGAAGGAGAGGAGTGGGTAAGTTGCAGTGCTGTGTGCTTTGGTAGAACTGACAAAGGCAACACCCAAATCTGGAAACTCTTCTTCATCCTGTGAGAAAGACATGTGTTTTAGGGTGTACAGTGCAAAAAACCATTACAAAACTGCAGATTCTGCCATCATCTAGGTCTGCTTCTCCACTTGTCACTGTACACAATTCAATAGAAATATTCTGGAAAAACAAAACAGAAGTTTTGTTTTTCCACCTGGGTGATGCACAACAGCTATCCTATGCCAATAGCCCCAATACACAGCAGATCAAGAGGAGACATGAAATTACTTCAGCAGCTGAATAAAGAATACATTTAGGCAGGCCAGACTACACAAGCCCAGAGTGGAATCTAGGGAGGACACCAGAGAACACCCCTACCCTTAAAGACAGTGCCATGGGATTGGTTATGCCAGATAAACAGAACCTTGATGTCACCTACTGGTCAACCTGCACCACTTGCAGCAGTAATCTGGGTTTTAAATGGGAGGTATCCCATCCCAGTACTGACCATGCCCAAGTGTGCTTAGCTAACAAGATCTCATAAGATCAAGCAACATGGTGGTATCACTGTTGTTGACAACAATGATCATCATTCCCACAAAACACTGACTGGTAGTTAATTTGTTCCTCAAAAAAAAAAGATTAGCTTAGTATAAATACATGTGAACTTTATACAATTAGGTATTTCCACTGCCAACACCTCATCAAGCTGCCAGAAAATGTGTGAATCCTATATTGGCCTTATCTGTCATCTCTGGGTTTATGAAAGACCACCTCCAACTGTGAGGGGTGGCTAATAGACTTCTAAAGGTTTATGCTTACCAATTGAGCAGTATCTTAAGATACTCACATTAACTTATTTTACCAAACAAGAGGAAGCTTATATTCTTGGTCTTTCTATATAAGTATTCATGTTTCAATTGGACAATCTCCTGTGACTAAAGGGTTATGTCACTCAAAGGTTAAGGGCTGTCGACAAATACAACTCCACTAGATAGAAATGCAAAAAATGACATTTTCATACTTGGGTTAAATAATTTAAGATTTCTATTCACGGAGAGTTCTAAATGTAAAAAAAACAACCGAGAAGCTTTATTATCCAATTAGCAACACTGCAGTGCTTTATGTTGTTTCATAACTTGTGAAACACCATTGCAACTTTTCACCTCAACACCTACTCCAGCAGACACCCTTTTTTGTATTTGCTTGATCCTTGACTCTTGGTCCTCATAAACCATTTTTGTTGAGTATTTTATGTGCATGTAACTTCTAACCCATAACATTGAGGAAATTAAATATTTAAGGGAAAATATCTACATTATGATCATAATTCTGTTCTCAAAAACATGAAACATCCCCCTCTAGTGATGGCAAATGACTTTCAAATATGGTTTGAGCAGTAAAACAAAAATGTTCAAGTCCTTTTTCTTTTTATGCTGGCTACAATATTTTACATGTTTTACATACTCTCCCCAAATAATTTGGAAACATTCAAATCAAATACTATATAAACCATAAGTAACCTTATTAAAACTACTGTATGTGCAGTTACAATAGTTTCAGTTGCTGTTTGTCACTATACTCAGAACTACAGCTGTGAGCTCTTCAAAAGTAATAAAAAGTTTAAACTGGTGTAGTCTAGTTCATAGATCTCTACTTTCTAAGATATCTGAGTTGTACATATCTTTTAAAGTGACCACTTTTGAAATAGAGGATGTTACAGTGCACAAAGTGTACAAAAGCATTAAGACTGTGTCATGCACCATCAATGGATCTCAGGCCTCATTACTAGTCAACCTCAGTCAATCGTAAATATTAATGTATAATAGTTTATATCATTTTTTTAAAAAGAAAAAGAGAGGTGATGTAAAGGAAATGGTTTCCATTGCCTATCAAAAGAAGATAATTATCCCCTTGTATTCTTGTTACACAAATATCAACCCAATATGCCAAAGGCTCTAGCTACCTCCAAATTACCTAATGCAAACATAAAATCAAGATTTCAGATAATCTGTGGCCATGTTCTAATAATCACCTAATCAAATACTATGACGCAAGTCACATATATATATAAACCAATATGCTTTGATGTTAGCATGTGATTTTCATTTTCTTGTGGCTTAAAAAAGATGCAAAATGTATAGTTTTCCTTCATGAAAGGAGCTAAATACAAGAAACTCAGTTGGCAGTCACTGCTCTGTGGAGTCTGTAAACTAAGAGACAGTAAATAATTAACTGTCCGTTAGAAGAGCAAATAATCCTACAGGAGAAAAATACCAGGTTTACTTATTACTCAGCTGTTGTTTACTGCCCTGGTTCAAAAGCATTTCAAGGTTTATTGCTAAACCATAGTCTTGCGCCCAAAACTTCAATATTTTCCACATCCTGAAAGCTGTTTAATTTTAACTTTTTCAAAGATATTTTTTTAATCTGAAGTTTTAATCAACAAAGAGACTTTTACAATGTCATATCATTTTCACTTTGTTTACAAATTATCAACTGAAAGTTTCAAACCATTCCAAGGTTGAAATGAACTATTTTAAGAACTTAAGAATTTAACTTATAGTGGTATGAAATTAATGTCACATAAACAAACACAGATTAATAGAATAAGATAAAAGCTTCTGTTATTCAATTCAAAATAATGTATTTGTCATCAGGATGGCAACTTAAGCAATTTAAGTTATAAGGTGGTAGTATAGTTAAGAGAGTTAAACTGAACTAAGCAATACAAATTTGCCACTTGCTGAAAAAAAACAAGTGAAGGAGTGATAAGTAGCCTGGGTGTCAAACCTTTTGTGTGGAGAAGGTCAAGGGTCAGGTGAGAGAAACAGGTAAGATAAAACAAAGAGCCTCTTTCCCTTTCCTAACTGCAAATATGTAGTTTTGGGGACAAAATTGAGGTAAACTGGTAATGGCATATAAGCTACAGAAAACTTGTGTTCTCTAACTCTTAGCACCAATGCATCTCAAAACAGGTTTCCAGGCAGCTCTGCTGTTGTAATATTTTCAAAATGTAAAGCCAGTTAGGCTGTCTCTGCAACAGCTGCAGTAAAGGCTGAGGAGTTTTCGTATTCCAAGTTTCTTGCTCACCTAAAACAAAGGGTGTATTGTTAAACAAAAAAAACACATGCAGGATATAAGCAGCTTTTCTACTCGTACCTCAAACTTTGGGGGCTCCTGAACAACAACAGGGGACTCAGGCTGATTGCTTTCTGCTGCATCACAAGGCTTTTTGGCCTTTTTCTTTCTTTTCTTTTTCTTCTCAGAGACTTGCTGCAGTTCACCTTCAGATGATTTGCTCCGATTCTGTGGGATAAGAAAAACAAATTTGGCTTCTGCAAAACATACAGAAACAGAAATGCGCATAAAAATGTTTTGCAAGTGTAAAGAAAGAAATGGGCGTCTCAATTGGAATGAGAATTGAGTTCTTTGCTCTGGAAAAGTAAGAGACAATTGGACTGGGTCAATCAGACACAGAGGCTGCAGATAGCAAGCACAGATGGCTATACAACTTCCACTGCACATCAGCTTCAGACCTTTCAGGTTTGTTTAGGTGCTGGACCTTACAGAAAGTGTTCCGGTCAAGTGATAGAGCAACTGTGCACTGCTCAGGATAAGAGGCTGGATGGGTGAGGGTCCTATCTGGTCAGTGTGGTGAGTTACTGATTCACAGGCCACTAACTCAATGAGGAGAACTTTACAGTGGGATTAACTGTGTTTGCAGACAGAAATATATTTTACAGTAGACACAATTAATGTGTTTTCTCCTCAGAAAGTTAAAAGAAGAATGCATTCCCTATATGGCAGCAGGGTACATGACATCAAATGTGTGGTTTTCTTTTTTTAAATGAACACTGTAACATAAGTTAGAAGTTACTTGTTGTAAGAGTTGTGTCTTCTCATAAAAGCAAAGAGAAAATGCTTGAAGGAACAAAAATGAAACTTCACAAAGACGTGGAAGTGTGGTTTTGTGACGTTTTTATCTGTATCAAAAGCCGACTGTCCAATGATAGCAAACCAGCCACTGATACAGTATCCCTACACCACACACTGTATTGTACCTGTGAAGTGGCAGAGTTCTGTTGTAGAGGCTGACTGGCAGGTTTTTTGGGGATGTCCCTCTGTGGTGGCTGAGAAGCAATGGTGGCCCAGGATGATGGAGAATTTGCTGAGATGCACAAGTTTGGCTCTGGAAACTGAGCTGATACAATCAAGGCAATTTGTTAAAAATACAGATAAGACTCAATATTGTCATCAAAATGACCATGCAGCAACAAAGCAAAGATGTTCTACTATTTTTTTTTCCCACAGTAATAGGCAATCATCCTCCTTTGATTTCTGGATAATACTAAGCATTTCGTTACTGTTCTTATTACAGTTCATATTCACCACAGAGGTGGGTATTGTGGAATGCCATTGTGCACACACAGCTTCTTCTGTAGTTTTCTCTTTGGCAATCCTCCACTATTTTTCCATTCTGCGGCATTGCTAAGAGCATTAATGCAGAGCAGCAAAACTGGCTCATCAATACATTGTAAATTTCCCTCATTCTGGTATTTTCCAGTTGTTTATGGGAAGGTCAAACCTGTGTTTGCATCACAAATTAGGCTTTCACAAAACTGTGTCAAACAAGATCCTATTGCAATTAATTCCAAATACACAAAGACGATGGGAAACGGTTGGAGAGCTGCACATCCTAGTGGTTAGGAAGTCTTCATGCTCTTCATGGAGAGCCACATGCATGTAGAGTGCACAAACCTTCAGTTTTGGACAGCACCAAAATGGTGTGTGGAGATACCCTGACCTCTTTACAAAACCAAAGAGGGGTTTACATATAGTAGAAGCCTATCTGACAGAAAAGAGAGATGTAGAATTTAAGTGGCACTTCCAAGAGCCATTTGCAGAATTGGCTGATCTCTATAGCCTTTTCTTTAATGATTTTGTGCTAATTGGTTTTTAATTTCCATTTATCAGTCTCTTTTTTTTTAATTCACATAGGGGTGATGAGATGAAATGTGTTAACATGTACTGTGTTTTAGGGAGGTTATGACCAAATGGAAATACAGCTGCGCTAATGTAAATCCTGCAACATGTGGTACTGAAGTTACACTGTATTTGAATTTAGTACTTATAGTACTTTTAGTAGTAATTTTGCACCATGCATTATTCAATTTTCCCTAGATTAACTTTACTTATATATACAATATATTTTTAGTCTATCCAGAAAGTTCTTGCAACAAAGTAATTTTTAGATTAATTGGTCTGTTACAACATTTTCTGCTTCTAATAAAAAAACAGCACAGGAAAAATACATTACATTGCTAATCACATACATCTGCCATTGATGTGCATGAGAAGTTAAAAGACATGCAAAAGAGAGAATTACAACACAATACAATTGTAAAGTGAGGATCATATAGGAAATTAAGGATGGAGATGATTTTTCATATGATCTACAATGTATCCAGTCACCCTTAAAAAAATATAAATATGGTTTATTTTTATTTAGATAATCAATGTTAAATACAAACTTTGTTTCCCTTCACCTGAAAACAGATATAATAATAATAATAATAATAATTGCTTACACTATATAGCGCTTTTCTGGACACTCCACTCAAAGCGCTTTACAGGTATGGGGACTCCCCTCCACCACCACCAATGTGCAGCATCCACCTGGATGATGTGACGGCAGCCATAATGCGCCAGAACGCTCACCACACATCAGCTATTAGTGGGGAGGAGAGCAGTGTAATGAAGCCAATTCATAGATGGGGATTATTAGGAGGCCATGATTGGTAAGGGCCAATGGGAAATCTGGCCAGGACGCTGGGGTTACACCCCTACTCTTTTTGAGAAACGCCCTGGGATATTTAATGACCACAGAGAGTCAGGACCTCGGTTTTAGGTCTCATCCGAAGGACGGGGCCTGTTTACAGTATAGTGTCCCCGTTACTATACTGGGGCATTAGGACCCACATGGACCGTAGGGTGAGCGTCCCCTGCTGACCCCACTAACACCTCTTCCAGGAGCAACCTTAGTTTTTCCCAGGAGGTCTCTCATCCAACTACTGACCAGGCTCACACCTGCTTAGCTTCAGTGGGTTGCCAGTTATGAGTTGCAGGGTAATATGGCTGCTGGCAAGATATGACTGATAAAGAATGGTTCATTTCTGGTTTCTAAACATATCCATATGTTGTGAACCTGGTTCACACTAAAGTCAAGAGCAAGGTATTTTAATACATGTATTACCCAGATACTAGTATTTTATAACGCATATGATTCAAAACAGAAAAATAAACACATCCCCCTGTCCCTCCCACCTTAAAATGCAAACTACTTTGATTGCAACTACTTTTTATATCAGGATTTATATATTCAATATTTTTATTTAATTTTATGTAGTACTTTAGTATGGGTGTTCTTAAAAAAAAAAGCAGGTTTCTTTTTGTCATAGCACTCCATTCACATTTACATCACTACCTTCGGAAGATGCTAATGGCATGTCCACACTATTACCAGCAGAACTGCACTGAAGGGGGTCAGTAGTTTCTTCTTTCCTCACACAATATTTCTAATGATAAACAACAGAAAAGTATTATTTCCCAGGGAATACAGAAACCATACTTTCTCCAATAGACAATTTCAAGACATGAATAAGTAATATCATGAACACTTTCGGGCAAATAATGAATATATATACAGTATATGGAAAATGAATACTGAAGTAAAAAAACACAGGGGGTAAAATGTTAATTCACTGAGAATTCAAGCAATGATTAATATGCCAACCTTGTGAACAGGGAACACTGCGCACTCTTTCTGGACCAGGTCTGTTGGCCTGTCAGACGTTTGTGGACTCACCTGCTCTCTCTGGACACAGACAGTAGCAGACTCCAGCTGTGGAAAATCTGAAAGCTTCACTTCAAATGCAGCAGCTTCTCTTGGCTGCGGCCTGGACCTCTCCACTATCTTTGGCGCTGATTTTCGACCTCTGTTGCCTGAAAAAATGTTGAGTTGAGAGAATATGCTGTTTGTGAGAAACAGGGAGTCAGCCCCAGTGTCCTTGCTAAATTTCATTTTGGACTTGCACCTTCTGGCCTCATTCAGCTGGTGAAGTAGATTCTCACCAAGTCTGCTGTGTAGTGGGGATGCGGGCACATAATTGTTGCGTGTCACTAATCAGGAAGATGAATCAGGACACCTCCTCTATTGCAGTCACTCTGCGATTCTTTGGTAAGGACTATATAAATGCAATTATTAATTACACTTTAAAAAAAAAACAATCTTTCTGTTTCATTCTTAACATTAACACATTAATAGGTTTGTGTGGGTGGGAGAGTGTTTCCGAATTCTGCAAAAGCTTTTATACTGGAGGCCAGTATTTCTGGGAAAGCTCTGGAGGTGAGAGAAATGTTAGGGTTTCACAGAAATATACAGATTGATCCTTCTTTTTCTAATTCATACTAGATCATGAAATTTAAGCCTAGATCATTCTATTAAACCAAATGTATAGCATGAACAAGTTGGGTTTCCTCTACATATTATTCATGATAAAAAACAAGTCATTATCACCAATATGGCCTGTGATCACATGAAAATAGAAGACTCGCAAAACAATGACCAAAAGACAGAAGGCCTTTAAGCCTCTTGAAAGTGAAACTATTTCAAATCTGTGAAATAAAGCTTCCACTTCTACAAAACCTAACTGCACCTTTCACAGAACAGCAATTCTGCAGTGTGGAAGACTGTAAATAACTGAATACTAATCAATGCCATCAGAATGTCTTCTAAAACATTTACCCAGTTTCTTTGGGCTACATTCCCCTGTCATTCCTTCAGACGGTCTTCCCGTCACCCCATGTCCCACAGGACCTGGTTCAGTACTTGACCATGGTGCCTGCAAATAAGAAATAAGTATTAAGGGAACTGAGCTGTGGAAAGTCCTTCAGCAATCTGACAGAATCATATGGGGGAAACACCAAGCACAGAATTGAATAGAAGAAAACGTTAAGGTACACCTACTTCTCAGCACCTTAAGCATTTGGATGCCATCGCAACTTTGAAAAAAATACTCTCCTAATCAGTGGAAATATAAGATTTTGCCAAAGGGAATGCCTTCAATGGCAACAATTCAATGTTGTTCAATGCCAGCAAACAAAAGTACTGCTTGGAAACTAAGTAGAAAGCCGATCAACTGCAAAATTGGCTACTTTACGACACTGGACTGCTAATATTGTGCAAAAATGATTCTCTTTTATGTAACATTTATAAAACGGCATGTTCTAGACATTGGAAAAGCCAACTGCCTCTCATATTCTAGGGAGCACACAACCTTTTTCTTTTCGGAAGATTGCAGCTGCTCTGAACTGACCCTTCTGGACTGTTTGCCGGACAGGGTCTCTTGTTCTTGTGTGGCTTTTTTGCCTCGACGGGTGCTGCTGTATTTTTTGGGGGAGCCATCTTCATTGGGGATGTGTTTACTTTGAACTCTGGGGTGACAAGTAGGAAGTGAAGAAGAGGCCGTTGGTGACGATGGGCCCATTATGTCCGGACCCGATGGGCACTGAGGTTTCCTTTCCCTGCCATTTTTTTCAAAGGAGTGAAGTCCACTAAAGACAAAAAAGACAATGAGTGGTTTCCATGTCTTAAATTGCTGACATTTTTGTAACAGAATGAAAAATGTGCACCATGTCTCCTTCAGGGACTTGATAGTACTTTATTTAATGCAGGCCAAATCTGTAATTTGTAAATGAGGATATACAAAAACAATACCAGAGCTATCTCTGAGCTTCAACAAGTGTCTTAAAGCACCAACATAGAGAACATAGAGACTTTCTGGAAGTCAAATGTTATATCAAATCCAGCTCCTTAGAATAGTCTCCTTAACTGCAGTCATTCCCGCTAACAAAACGTGTTTGTGGAGCACTGATAGTGTTAATTGAGATACATCAGAGAGTATCTCAGAACATCTGGGGACTGGGGAAGAAGAGTAACAGATATACCTGTACAGCTTAATGCAGACCCTACATATTTCCAAATTGCATTAATTTGGGGGAATTCACAAAAGAAGTAAGTGCATGCCCATTACCTTACAGATTATGAACTTGTTTTGGAGCTGTTAATCTGCTGTGTCTGGAGAATTTGCAGTTTATTCCACATAAATGACAGCTAGGTATCAGCAGAATGGCATGATTCTTAATAAAACTCAAAACTGGCTATTATAAATTCCAAACATACTGTATTCTGATCTGTACTATACCCTTACTTTAACCATTTTCATTTTACTCATTGAGGACACTTTCTCTTGGGATTCCACTTATCTATGAAAATACAAGATGTTGTTGTGTGGAAACAAATTCACAGATGTCAAGTAAATGGGATAAATTAAATAAGGGATACCCACCTTCCCACACCAGGCTCTTGGACACAGAGACGGGCTGACGATGCAGAGTCTGGAATCTCACTGACTTTGAGAGGTTCAGCTCCAGGTTCCTTCAGGATTCGTTTGGGCACAAATGTTTCAACTTCAGGTGACAGCTTGCTTGCCTGCTAAAATATTATTTAAAAAGCTGCACTGTAAATATTCACAATATAAATAATACACATGTAAATATCTTTAGACCATTATACTTGAATTATGTTAATATGGTTTTCAGTGTTGTGTAATAGAACATACTAAAAATGCTAAGAAATTCGTATTGGTAGTGATTTGGTCTAGGGCATTTTCTCTTCTTTGTTACACAAGAAGTCAAAAGGTTTAATATCATGAGTAAACACAGGCTCGGAAATGTACTGTTGCCTTTCATTTGAAAATATTATTCAAATGCACCCGGGTATCAATTACATATTTTCTATTCTATTCAAAACTACACTACAGTTTCTCTTCATTCCTTAAGATACGTAGAACGTCACTTCTTTTTTTTTAACTAGGTAGACAATATTTAAACGTAACATATTTTAAAGTACTCGGATATAAACGTGACACTTGCTCTCAAGTACAAAAGATACAAATGGTGTACAAGTATGTCACAAATTCCAGCGTTGCAGTCCATAGAAAGTTATCGAAAACACTGTTCAACTTTGAACATTACGAATGGCATAAAAAAACAGTTTTTCTCCTCTTTTACAGTCAATAATAAAAAATAATAAAATGAGAGAAGGTCGCTAAAATATGCATGTAATCAGTGATAATTATTTTAACTGGGAAACGAGATAGTTTCGTCTCAACTTTCTATGCTTTTGCAAAAACCTGTTGAGAGGTTCCAGCTGGGCAAACTCCTGACTCACACAGTGACCCGTAGCTCAGTCATGTGCTGCGGATCATTCTTACAGGCTTTTATTGTGTTGATCCACTTTAATTTATTTGCGAAACATTACTAAATGCCTTCCAAAGCATTGCGTTCAAAGAACATATGAGAACCACATTTTCATTGCAAAAACATTCTATAAAAACGATGCGTCAAAATGTTTAAAGCTACCTGAATCATTTGGTTGTAACATGTAACTCGTCGTTACTTTTCTACAGATAGTCTGTCCATAGCTCATCTAAGGCTGTAAATTACTGCAAGATAGTTTAATATGCGTATTTTTTAAAACAACAGTATCCAACATACAGAAAATATTTGAAGTTTTCACAATAGTAAATATAATACTGTAAAACTTTAAAATGCCGTGAATTTTGATGTTACAAGAAGAAACGTACATATATTATACGGTACCTTGTTTTGTGCGTGTGCTTCAGATTTCATGATTTCTAATGGTGCAACATCAGAGGTCCATTTTCACATTGTTGACTAACAAACGATACTTCCTTAACCTTATTCCACCATCCCTGCTTTTCTACGGCTTGCTACTACGGCAGAGCAGCAGGGACAATCTGAGCTATGACTCGTAATACTTTGAAGAAGGGGGAAGTGCGTGAGGCGTACCACACTTTGAATCGAGTCGAATTCCTCATTATATTTAGACAACCGAAACGTTGTTTTTCTCTTTCCGGCATGGAATAAATCTTTACTTGTTCCTCCTCATCACGTCAAATTGATAAATCACACAAAAAGCACGCCTTTCAGTGACGCACCTATGACGTGTACAACTACTTGAGCCATAGGACAGCAATAATTGTTAAAACGTAACACTTTTCACTTCAAATAAATTTCGAAGGCTGTCCAGTCTAGCTTCCTAAATTAAGCAGATTTTATTCATTGTGATGCCCCTAAGTTTGTAAGCAGCTGTAATAAAATTGCGTGATATATTACAGGTGTGCAAAAGTTTGACCAAATTGTAGGTCAAGTGAATTAAGATTTCTTCTAGATTTTACTATGATGTGAAGAGACCTAAAGGTACAGAAAACTCTTGCTGGTGCACTGGTTCTTATATTCCTATTTTTAAGTTGTTACTACACAGCTTTACAGTAATTGTTTGAATTAAAGGCTTTTCTTACAAAGGAAAACGTTTAACATACAGATCAGTTAAGAACCCCAGAAGAAATGTTGAAGCTTACAAAGGGGATCGTGGTGAAGGTGGATTTAACATCCATAACCAGCAGAACATAATCTGCGCACACAAACTAGGAATCTTACCTTTTAGATCCTTAGGAGAAACAAGACGACCCAGCCATTTAGAGAAAAGCTACTGGCGATTAGCTACTCGAATTTTCAAGACAACCATTACTTTCACTCCATGATCCACAGTCGTTCAGCAACGAGCTTATATTTGTAATTTTCAAATGTAAACATAACACAAGATGACAAAGTAGGGTTTTGAAATGAATATCTTTTTAATTATCCGTTTTGGCAACTACTCCACACAAGTAATATTACTGTATAAAATGTAAAGTAGAAACCTTTTCAGCAATACCTGAAGATGATATCAGAAAGCTTTATTTAGAACAAACATTAAGTAGTGAGCAAGCAACTCATTACAGCAGTGAACCAATCACAAATAGTGCAAGGCACAAATATTTTGACCAAGCTGACAAGGAAGCAAAGCTGCTCATCATATAATGTTACTTTTTGAGGCAGAATAATCAGATTTTCAAATGATCAGGTATGGCGAAAACATACCACCAATCCAAAGAAGTTCACATAAGATTTCCCAAAACCCTCCCATAAGACTAATTGCAAACTCAGTGTATATATACTTAGACTTTAAAACAGAAATGTTACAAAGAAGTTGCAACTTTCCTAGTTTTGTAGTACTAAACTCATTCAGCAATGGTACATACACAATTAATGCAACCAGAACTTTATTGAAAAATGTATACCTCTACTTGAACAAGAATTTTACGTAAACAGAGGCACTTGCTTCTAACAGAGAACTGACTTTTTCCACTCCGTTCCCTTTCCCACATGTACTAAGCAGAATATCCATTTTCTCCTCTGTATTTTGACTGAGCTTTGTTGCTGTGAAGAATACAGCTCATGCGCAGGAGTTGGCAAATTTGTTGGCAAAATCCAAGTATTCACTGAATACCACAATAATGAACAATGTCCCAGAAGATTCATGTGAAGATTCCGGAAGTTCACTTTACTCTTTCTGAAGAGGTCTTCTGAACAAGAGAATGTGTGGCTCTGAAATAAGAGGGAGTGAAGTTATAATCTATTCCATATACATAGACATTTGTTTCAGTATGCTACTCAATTTGTCAAAAAGCACTGATCTTTAGTCCTGGAGAGGACTTGTGCTCCTATAAAACAGGATAAGTTCGAATTCAATCAGTTTTTATTTTTCTACCTTCATCACAAAAAGTGTTTGCTTCCCTACAGCACTACAAATTATTCTTTGCTCTAAATCTACCATTTCACACAAGTCATTATGTCTTAAACTAAAAAAAAAAATACAGGCTAGTAAAATTGAGGTCCAAATCTAAATCTTTTGCAGAGAATACTAAAAATTCCTTTAGACTACGTTTTCTATACATAAAGGGTTTTGATATCTGGATGTCATCAAAATGGAAAATCTGTCTGGAGTGAAACCATTCCTGGTAAAAACTGCAATTAACCTGAACATGCAAAAGCAGAAAGCCAGAACAGATTTCAGAGGGTTTAAGTGCCATAGTAAGTACAAACCAGGTTCGTGGATCATGTAGTGAACCCATCCAAGACTCTGCTGTACTCCTAACCGCCTCCATTCGTCTTCTGACATCAAGTGTGTTTTGGGTACTTGTTTTGCCAGCTCCTTGGGTAGCATTACATGCCTGTTAAAAGAAAATCAAAAACCTTTATTTATCCTGTGGTACAGACATCTCTATCTCTACTCCCGGTGATCCCCATTCCAACAGGATTATAATCAACATCTAAAGAGAAACACTAATTACAGGTGACTTATTAAATTAAGTAGGAGAAGACACTCTCGTATATATGCTGTGGGGGAAGAAGGACACCACCTACTCGTAGAAATATTAAGTGCAGATTTTATAGCATAAATATATAAAATATGTTTTCTACATTTGCAGAATACTTAAACATCCAAGGAGGTGGTAGTGAGGTTCAGTAAATAACTTATTCCTGAGAAACTATTGGCTAGTCACGTTTTAGAGTTCCACAACTCTACAGCAAAGATCTGCAGCAACACTGCTGGGGATGGACAGTACCAGCATGTATATATTTTGTCAATGTTTTAAAGTACTAGTCATCCATAAAGAACTGCAGCCAAATTCTAAAAGCTCACAAAGCATATTAAGAGAATCACTCTCACAGATATGCGATTTGATGAGTTCGCATTTGCTCTTTGTATGGGGCTTTGCAGTGATACTTGCACACCGAGGGGCTTTAAGAAACACTCAAGGAAGTCATGGGCCTGAAAAGTTCTACCAAAGAGAACAACAACATCTGCAAGTAAAGATAGAAGATCATGCTTGAAAACGACATACCCCCTGAAAATCATATTCACGGGGTGCAAAAAAGTCGACTTTTCTCTAAATAAAATGAACGATTACATATTCGGTCACTGCATTGGTAAACTGCGGAAAAGGTTTTTTTTAATCTGAAAACAGTGAAGGTGGAGCACATTCTGCTTTAGAAGGAACCAACCTAAACTGCCCTGTAATTTAGCAATTTGCTTAAAACTGCAGGTATACCATCCACCGTCTCTCTTTGATGTTTGAAAAGCCGAATCGTCGCGTTTCGCATCTCTGGTTTATTTCGTCCACAGGAAACGTGGGGAGTTTATCTGCAGGCGCCGGGAGGAAACACTGGCTGGTCTGTTTTCCGAAGTTCAGCCTGGGACCAGCAGCCTCGTTTTCTAGAAAGTTCCGGGTCTCCAACTAAACAAGCTTTTTTCAATTTTAGTTCTTATGAGTTTGAATGCTTGTACAAGAGTGGTTTCCTTTCGAATGAAGCCCGTTTGATACCGACGCTAAAAAAAAAAAATCTCCCGCATGGCGAACAGGAAAGTAACTTTCACTGACTCACCCAGCCCACAACAGAAAATAACTGTTCGCAACATGAAATCGCAGATTAAAATCGATCATTTTTTTTGTTACGTTTAACTAGCTAAAATACAAAAATACACAAAGCTTAAACATTTCTCATCAGTTTGTGTTTGTAATGAAAACAGAGACCTCCTTTCCAGCCTTCGCGCATCCACCGCGCTATACAATATAGAATAATCACTACCATTTATAAGGCTTAAATCTCACGAGTTACTATTTACCACTGTCTAGTAAATATTTTTTTTACTACAGCTACTCCTCCTCCTACCACACTATGAAGCACTGAACAAATGATAATTATTTTACCTGTATTCATAGTGGTCATCGGTATATTTATCGGAGTAGTAGATCTGCTTATGAGCCATGGCTTGAGTAAAAAATGACTGTGCTACAAAACTGGAAGCAGTAATACTTTTAAAAACGAAGCAAAATAGTAACTTCTCCACACAGCTCTGATTCCCAGTCCAACCGACACTGGTTTCAAACAGCAACAGAACTGCGAATTGAACAGCGAGAGCAAGCCTCTGATTGGACAGAGGGATGCCACGTGACATCCCTCTCCCTGCGAGAATCGCAGAGGATCACGGGGAAGGAGGTCAATTTTTTTTATTATTGAGACGCTCAGGAACCACGAGGTATAATTAATACTGGGGGCGGTTCTTGCAATACTGGTAAAATGTGTAAGGTAAAAATTGATCATTATTTACGATATATTTTTAAAAGTTGTCACTGAAGATGTTAAAGATAATAGATTTCGCTGCACGTCGTTTCTATAGCACAACTGTATAATCTTACCTAAATTGTGTGCTTTGAATTAACTACACTTAACATTAGGAAAGAGTCTTTATTATCTATAAGGGGCAATTTGTTTACAGCGGCTGACAATAAAGGAAAACTCTCAAACGATACACATGTATATTAAATAATTTGTTTTTAGATTGGGAAATCTGTATCGTCTGGAATGAAATGTGTTTTCTCAAAACTCGAAACTCATAGACAGACGTGGGATATGGTCGCAATTAATTTTGACAATACCGCCCAATTTGTTCTTACTTCCCAGATTTCGATTCTCAGACCAGCAAATTAGGGTATAACCATGCCATTAATCAGAAATGCTAGGTAAAATAAATACGTTTTAATAAAAACAAATATGAATACTTCATCCTACCACACCAACAGAAAATAAGGATCTAGTGATTTACAAGTCGTCAGGACTGGTTTGCAAATACCTGCATCATCTGTTTCTTTTTAATCACGTGTAGTTTTCAGTGGTCTCTTGTAAAAAATCAAAACCATTAGTTTGATTAATAAGAATTTTTACTTACAGTTATTTATTTGCTTTTTGTTGAATGTCTGTGCCACCTGAAGATATCTATACTAAGTTGCCTTTTGGGTGTAGAATGACCGAGAACGTGTTCCCTATTCCGTTTATAACATGAACTTGGTATTTCTTACATTTAATAAAGTATTGAACTGCAGATGAAAAAAACAATCGTATAACAGCTTCAAAGTATTAATTAGAAACCTTTCTAGGAAACAGCAGGAAGAGATAGGTGAGTTTTTTTCTACATATAGTAATTAATTGGAATGAAACATACATATTACAGTATTAACACAGCATTCTGTGAATTGACAACTACATAATTAATTTCAAGATAAAAAGAGAGAACAGTCAAAGTTTTGCCCTTTTCCATGTACTGAATAGTTTTCCTTTAACACAACTGAATAAATAAAGAACAGACATTAAATGCAGCGACGTTATATTGGTGTCCACCTGGTGGTACTGTGTGCGTGTGATTTGTTATAGCGAAAATCAGCCCATGGTGATTGATCATTTTAAGTAAGTTTTTCCCATGTATTGCTTTACTAAGTTTAACAAATTCCCATTGCTTTATTTTCATTCAGTTTCTAGAAGCATTTGGAATGACAGTAGAAAAACCAGATGGTTATAAATGTTCCTGCAGCAACCATACTCCAAAGCCATAATGGGACTTCAAATCCTCAGTACTCAATTTAATAAGTATACATTGCCTCAGGTGTTACAATTGTGCTGCATAACAGTTCCCGAGGCTTTTGGAGCAGCACAATGTTATCTCTAATTAGATTTGAAAATACTTTACCTAGAGATTTTAAAACCTTAAACGTATATGAGAGTAATGGTGTACATATAATATATATCTTTCATTTGAACCCTTGCACTAATATAGTAGAATAATTTGATTGAAAGCCCAATGTGCAGTATAGTGCTTATGGTATACTATAAGCTTTACATACAGTGCTTTATATCCCAAAGAGCACTTTTTCACTTCTCTGCTGAAAAGTTTTTGTCATATCTGGTGAATCTTACACACACCTACACTGATATGCTGAAGAAAGTGACCCTTTTGAGTCTTGAGTGGAGAAGACTGTGAGGGGATCTGATTCAAGTATTCCAAATCTTCAAAGTCAGCTGAACAGACCTCTTCAGAGTCAACAGTGAAGAAACACAAGCCACAGAATACAAGCACATTCACAATTGAGAACGGCGCTCTTCTTTACGCCCCAAAAAACCCAAAGTGGGCACCCAAATATCCACTTTACTCCCAAATTGTGGGAGTATGGAGCACGCTGCCCAGCCATATTGTCAATACCCTGGTTTTCTTCTAGAAATGGCTTGTTGAGTTCTGTGGTTCTATTACATATTATTATCTAATCAGTTAGATATCAACTACCAGAATGGGCTAGATGGGCTGAATTTTCTTCTCTCGTTTGTAGCTGATCTTATATTATGAATTGCCTTTCAGCTTTTGAATTGAGAAGAGTCATTTAATTTAACATTGTTTAGAAGATAAAACAATAATTTTTTTTTCAGCTAAAATACAATGGAGATATATTGTTTACCATAATGCAAGGCTTATTTCATAAATAATAATGGGCTTTGGTTGAAACAGTCATTTGAGCTGCATCATAAGTATTCAGTATGTATTTCTTTGTTGACATCTGCCACTTATGTAGATGCATAAAAGAAACTCTTCATTCTAATTATGCATGTATGTTGTTGGAATAACAAAGTGTATGGAGTTCGGATTTTCAATGTTTGACTGACGCAACTGACCATGAGACACCTGGGTGACTTTGAATGTCATTAAAGCTCTAAATCACTTTATGAGTAAGAACTTTGATTAATCACTGGTGATAAAGTGATTTAATGTTTTAAATGACAAGCCTGGTAAGAGTCAACAATGAAAGGAGTCAGTATGCCACACTTATCAAGAGAACAATACCTTTTGTGCCAATGATATGTTGGAGGCAAGACTAAGATGGATAAATGGATTTGCAAGTAGTGGGACCATGTCACAATGTCACAATTACTGGCCTGTGATTTGCAAAGCAAATCATGACAAATGACAAATGTTAATCTACAATAAATTAACTTAAGTGTTCAATACAATGTCACTCAAAAAAGATTCCTGCTAACAACTCTGTGAATCTGTTACAGTTACCAGCAATTTTCTTTGATGCTTACTGCATTAATATTTTGTTCATTCTCCTACCCAATTTGTGTTCAGACCTATATGTCCTGAACCTGATATATACATATAATCAAGTGTATGAACATTAACACAGCAAAGTCTCTTGTCCTTCCTCTGTTGACATTCTATCAACAGAGTAGTGAATCTTTTCATAAATAATCGTTTTGATCATTTCTGGCAAAAATAAAAAGATAAATACATTTCTAATATTTCTGCTCTCAGGTCACTGGAGTATTGGGAGTTACAAAGGACAAATACTTTTTTTTATTAAAACAGTGCACCTAAGCATGTGGTTGGAACAGCAACACACTAAAAATCACAATTGGATAATGTGTCCTTTTCCTAATGTGATCTCTTATTGTCTCTTTCAGGCTTTGACAAGGAAATGTCAGAAGCGATTACCTTTATCTTTCCTACAGTTAAACAGAATGTAATAAAGCAGATGTCTTTTTCTGGATCTCAGACAATGAGTTGTGAAGGTAAGGGGCATATTTAAACAGTAACGATCACTGTGTTATTCACCTGAAGCTTTTGCCCAGCAAGTACCGAGATGGAAGTTCACTGAGTGCACAGCTCATATGAAAGTGCTTCTGTTATTGCCAGTGATGCAGTGATTTCTCAAGTGTGTGAATTGTTGACTTTGATTTGCAGTTAGGCGATGGATATTCTTGGCTATCCGTTGCAACTGTGCTGAAAGCCTTTAAATGACAATTTCCCCTGTAAGAACTGTACCAAATACATCGCAGTGATTTCACTTTTACTGATTGCTTGCTGCAGGCTTCCAGAGAACATGTCTTTTTGCGTGAGTTTCCTGAAATGGCAGAAAAGATGTGTACACAAAAATTTAAAGGAGGTAAGATACTAAAACTTCTGGTTGTCCTTTTTGAGTACTTCTAAGGACAGTGGTAAATAAAGAGCCTGTTCTTTATACCTCATTCAGTCTCATTTTATTTTTTGTAATAATGCAATTTCTACCTTCTAATCTGATTGCAGGTCAATGTCTTGTGATTTTAAAATGCTCATGTTAAATGTTGAATGTTTAACTTTTTTGGTGCAAGCATTTGTTCTGATTTTGCTTTGTGTTAATGCAGTAATTAATGTAATATGAATAGTTTTTAAGTAGTAATTGAATTTAACAACTATTTACATACTTTTATGTTGAGTATTGCCTTCCAGTAATAGCTTGTGTTAAATATTTTTTACAATAATGAAGCATTGTGGTGATATGATGGGAATATGATAGCCATTGTAATCCTAAAGGACTGGAGTGTTTTGTTATAAGTAGTTCTCAGTTACCTTATCAACATTCTTATTGAAGTGCACAATTTATATTTTGTCCGTATTTCCCACTAGAGGTGACCACTGTTTGTTGCTTTATAAATTCTTCAAAAGTAATGCCTTTACATGTAATGTGTGTGTGTGAGGTGGCGGCCTGAGGTTGTGCCACTACCCCACTGTGACCAGGATTCCCTTAGTGTCCCAAGGAGCAGAGTTGAAATAATAAACCTTGCAACTTATAGGTGATGCTCTGCTCACTCAGCCTTACAACGTCTTGTATGTAACTGCAGAGCTAATTGCATTTGAAAAACTGAAAAACTTGAGGAGCAGGTGTGTTTGAATGATTCTGGCTCTTCCAGATGCGTAGACAATAAAAATAATTGCTTAACAGGATAATGAGTAAAGATAACTATACCCAAGTAAGAAAATAATTAGCGCAATCAAGTAAGGCTGAGGCCATTTGTTTCATGTAAAGATTTAGGTTAAGGAGGAATTTTGTCTGGCCACAGCTTTCAGGCTATCTTCCAATACAATTCAATGGTTCTGCATACAGGTATGGCAGAGATTGAGTTTCTGCATAAACTAATGTAATGTGTCAGTTTAGTTTTTATGTTTCTGCTATGAATAGCAGATACACCTGTTGCAACAACTTCTTGGTTTTTTTTACCATTTCAAAATACTAGTTGAGAGACGTCTTCTGCTCTTTCTTGGACTCAACTCTTCCCAAAAGCAAC